AGGAGCCCGATGTGGGGCTCCATCCCAGGACCCTGGCATCATGACCTGAGCCGAAGGCAGACGCTTAACAGACTGAGCCACCCAGGCACCCCAGAAGCCTTTTATTTTGATGGAGTCTGAATAGTTTATTTTTGGTTTTGTTTCCCTAGCCTCAGGAGACCTGTCTAAGAAGGATGCTGCTGCTGTGACCAGTGTCAGAGAAATTACTGCCTGTGCTCTCTTATGTGATCTTTATGGTTTTAGGTCTCACATTTAGGTCCTCAATCCATTTTGAGTTTTTTTTTGTGTAGGGTGTAAGAAAGTGTTCCAATTTCATTTCTGCATGTTGCTGTCCAGTTTTCCCAACACCTTTTGTTAAAGATAATGCCTATTCCCTATTGAATATTCTTTCCTGCTTGGTCAAAGATTAATTGACCATAAAATTGTGGGTTTATTTCTGGACTTTCTGTTCTGTTTCCATTGATCTATGTACGCATTAGGTCTTTTATGCCAGCACCATACTGTTGTGATTGCTACAGTTTTGTAATATAACTTAAGTCTCAAATTGTGATACCTCCAGTTTTGTTTTTTCTTTTTCAAGATTGCTTTGGCTATTCAGGGTCTTTGTGGTTCCATACAAATTGTAGGATTGTTTGTTCTAGATCTGTGAAGAATACTGCTGGTATTTTGATAGGGATTGCCTGAAATGTGGAGATTGCTTGGGGGTGGTGGAGATATTTTGACAATATTTGTTCTTCCAACTGCATTCCGCATTGGGGAAATGCAAATCAAAACCTCAATCAGATATCTCGACGCACCCATCAGAATGGCTAAAATAAAAAACACAAGAAACAACAAGTGTGGGTGAGGATGTGGACAAAGTGGAGCCCTTGTGCACTGTTGGTGGGAATGCAAACTGGCGCAGCCACTCTGGAAAACATTTATTGAGGTTCCTCAAAAAAATTTAAAGTAGAACTACCCTGCAATCTAGTAATCACACTGTTTACCCAAAGAGAACAAAAACACTAACTTGAAGGGATATATGCACCCCTATGTTCATTGCCGCATTATTACAAAAGTCAGACTATGGAAACAGCCCAGTCCGTCGGTAGATGAATGGATAAGAAGAGGAGGGATATATATACAATGGAATATTACTCAGCCATAAGGAAGAATGAAATCTTGCCTTTTGCATTGACATGGATGGAGCTAGAGGGTATTATGCTAAGCAAAATAGTCTCTCTCAGTCAGAGAAAGACCAATACCACATGATTTCACTCGTATGTGGAATTTAAGAAATAGAACAAACAAACAAAGGAAAAAAGAGACAAACCAAAAAACAGACTCTTAACTACAGAGAACAAACAGATGGTTACCAGAGGGGAGGTGGGTGGGGGGTGGGGAAAACAGGCAGTGGGGATTAAACAATACAGTTATCTTGATGAGCACTGTGTAATATATGGAAGTGTAGAATCACTATATGGTACATCTGATACTAATATTACACTGTGTGCTGACTACACTGGAATTAAAAAAAAAAAGAAGGGCGCCTGGGTGGCGCAGTCGTTAAGCATCTGCCTTCAGCTTGTATCGTGATCCCGGGGTTCTGGGATCAAACCCCGCATCAGGCTCCCTGCTCAGCGGGATGCCTGCTTGTATTCCCTCTCTTGCTGTCTCTCTCTCTCTCTCTCTCTCTCTCTGTCAAGTAAATAAATAAAATCTTAAAAAAAGATATATGACAGGTTAAAAAAAAAATCTGAAAATACAGTGTTATGGGGTCTTAGCTTCCTGGGGGAAATGACAGGCTGTACTGGTTTTCAAGTCATTTTATATACTCGAGTTGAGTGTTGTACTCTGACCTCTCGGGTTGAATAAAATGCATCAGCACATAATCACGGGCGTGCATTTTCCCAGGGCTACCATGCATAGGAGGCTGTGCTGGGGCCCAGTGCCCAGCTCTGTCACGCCTGGGCTGTTTTTGCGGCGTGCAAAGTAAGATGGCGCTGCATGATCTGGGCGCTCCTCTGGCTTTGCCACTCACTGGCTCTGTGACCCTGTGCATGCTACCCCAGTCTGAGCACCTGCAGTCTGGGACTAACGTCTGTATACCTGTGCCGTAGTGTTGTTGGAGCATTAAATGAGGTGCAGGATAGGAAACAGGAGTGCTCCATGAATGTGATCCCCTGTTTATCAGAGCAATGGATTAAACTTTTTTCCAAAAGTCTTAAAAACTGGTTTGCTTTAAAGAAATGCCATTTTTGAAATGAGCAAGGCTGGCAGTCATTGCTTTGTCTGGCACAAAAGCACAGCCTTTCCCGGAAGACTGGGAATTCTCCTGGTTCTAGGCATAAAGACTTAGGAGAGGTCCTGCCTTTGGACAAAAGCGGGGATCAGAGCTGGATGGGCTCAATCCTAGAGGTTTTGGAGTGGCTAGAACCCCAATCTTCAGAGGATTTCCCCTCCAAAGTAGTTCCACTGTGTTCTTCATCTCAAGCTGCTTTTCTCCAGCGTTAAAATTGCATGTGCTCACTCCAACTGTGGTGTCTTAAAGCCCTCTGCACAGAAGGGTGTCAGCTTGTCCTTGGTATGTGCCCCTTCCCTGTTGCCCCTGCTTGTAAATTGCGTGGAGGCTGGAGGACAGAGCAAAGAGGCAACAGGAACTTTCCATGTTATCTCTGAGTATTTTAAGCTCTGACGAGCAACTGAATGGTCACACTGAAAGTGATGATTGAATCGCATCAGTAATTCAGTCACTGCAAGTTGAAGGTGGCTCCTTGGCAGGGTGGGTTGGCGAAGGACATCTCCATCCCAGGCTGGTTTGTCCTACTTCCATTTTCAAAGACCTCACCCCATTCTCTGCGGCCTCTTACTTTCTGCAGCTTTCTTATACTGAAAGCCTCATCTCCTGGCCCGTTCCCTTTCTGCCTGTGCCGCAGGCTTGGCCCTGGGCTCTCTTTGGGGTCAGACAGAGAAGAAGAGCTCTGGTGTCCGCTCTCAGTGTGCTCTGTCCCCGCAGCTGTATCATTCCCTCTGGGAGCCGCTGCCGGCACCAGTGAGCCAGTTGTGATGGAGGTCTCTGCCCAGGAGCTGACCATATAGGTGGCCTGTCATTGGGGGATTCATGGTGTTAGCAGCAGGTGTCTTCAGGTCCATCTCAGTGGCATATCAGGCAGCTTGCAGACGTGATTCCACCATCCCTGGGATGAGGTGGAGTGGTGAGGGGAAGTGCCAGCTAGATCTGGTGTTTTCCCCTTTACCCCCTTCTGCTTTTGCAGTAACTGAAGTATGAGTAATGACATTGAAGCTTCTAACTGCGGTCATTGTCCCAGACTACTACAGTGATTCCCGGAGAGAGGAAGAGTTGAAGCACACTCTTGTGGTTTCTCCTCACTTGTGGCTCATGTGGGATTGAAAGCTGGCCATAGGCCATCGGGGGATGAATCCTTCTTAGACTGTTGGAGTTTTGGGTCTGGTGCTTCAGAGGCTTTTCCAGGTTATTCAGTCTTGTTTTTCTTGATTGTGGATCCAATAGCTCAGAAGCATTTGGGAAGTTTGAAACAGTTGTTAACTCTGTATGCCCCAAATACCCTTTTTTTCACTGGAATTACAGTAGGCTGGAAACCCCTTTTCTTGCCTACCCTGAGATCTTAAAAAAAAAAAAAAAAAAAAAAAATCCCACTGGATGTGTATTTCAGACCTGAGCCTCTCTGATTGCTGGTGGGAAGGGGACCTTTGCCATCAGGGTGGAGGCCTCTGGGGCTTGCGCATTCCATTCCTGTGAGCCAATGGCAGGCGATGTGCTGTCCGTACCCGGCACTGTCTCCTTGACAAACAGCCTGCCTGACTTTGCTTCCTCTGTCCGCCTTACTCCTTTGAGGAGGTGTGCTTTGGAAGCATGCCACAGTTTTAAACCCAGGAGGTCACACGATGTGTGATGGTGGGCACTGTGGTCTAAGGTCTGAAGGAGCTGAGAGTGGCAGACCCCCCCCCCCCCGCCCCCGTGTTGGGCCTGTGCGCCAGGCAGGAGGAAGCAGCCAGCCAGGGAGGTGCTGTAGCTGTGTACTTACCTCTCGATCCTTCTCCTGGGTGTTGTCCCCTTTTCTTTCTCAAGCAGTGGCTCCTTGTCGCCCAGCCTTGCGTTCTTTCCTTTTCATGCTGCTCCGTGTTTAGTTTTCTCTGCTTTTTCAAGATCTCCCCCTTCCTTTTTGTTTTGACTTTCCTCTCTCCCCTTTCAGGTCTTCGTGCTCTTTTCCTTCTGTTTTCATTCTGTCTTGGTGGCGTTCTCTGTACTTTCGCTTCTTTATATGCTCGCAGGTGTTGGCATCCCCCAGAGAAGCTGACCGTAATCTCGGCAGTATTTTTAACCTGAAGCGAGTCTCTTTGTGCCACCGCAGTATGCAAGTGTTGGGCTGGTTCCAATCCCGTGTTTGTAACTGGAAGGAACCCACCTCTGCCAGTTTTATTCATTATGAAAAATCACAAGACAGCATTCAAAGACTTTTTAAAATAGACACGGTACTCCCACCTCTCATTCGTTCCTCGCCTTCCCTGTCCTTGTCTTTAGTGGTTCCCATGCCCATTCTTCTGTACGAGGAAGCGTAATTGTGTGTTCTTCACTTTGCTCACTAAGTCAGTGGCAGGGTTGTGGACTGCTGTTTCCCTTCACGTGGCAAAACACCAGCATGTGTAAGCCTGTAGAGCTGACAGTTCAGTGGCTGCTTACTCCTTTCCCAGCTGACATCTCCCTTGGGGGATGGCTCGCTGAGGTCGGGAAGAGAGGCTATAGGACACGGTGCAAAGTGTGAGGGCTTGGCCGCCAACCAGGCCAGCTCCAGACATGGCTTCAGTGAGCCACGTGACCCGAGAGCAGGCATTTACCTTCTTTGAACAGTGATATCTTGGATCTGATGGCTGGAATGTGGAGTGTCTTCTGTGCTCGGCTGAGGACTTTGAACTTCCTGCCTGCCACAGTAGGAGTGGTCACTGGCCAGCTCTCTCCCAGCAGGGGCCAGTCAGTGTGCATCCCTGGTGGCTGGTGGAGCACGGGATGGGTGGGGACGAGATCTGGGGCAGGGAAACCAGTCTGAAGCTTGCGTGTCTACTGATTTCATGATGACATGCAGAAACCTCTGTTCAGATTCTGGAACCAGAGAGCAGTCTCAGGAGAGGGTTTCTTTTCCCTCTGAGCTCCTGGGCACATTGAAATCCCCTCATTCGGTGAATGGAAGTCAGCTCGGCTGCTGCTGCTTCCTGAGTACCAAGTTGTGAGTGTAGGAATGAGGCCTTGCGAAAGAGCATTCGCATTTCTCCTTCCCAGACTGAGTAAGTATGTGAGATCTGTGTCTAAAAACAAGTGGCAGTCCGTGAAGAGAGAACGTTTAAAGTGCACACATTTCGGTTTTCACAATTGTACATTTTGGTAACGGCACTTGGAGGGGATGATTTTTTTTTAGGGTGGGGTATGTCTGCTTTTGACCAGTGTCTGTGGTTTTGTTTACAGATTCCCACTGGAAATCCATTATATGAATCCTATTATAAGCAGGTAAGTTTCACTAGTGTCTTTTTGATTGAATTTGAGAGGGCCTGTCTCAGCAGACACAAACCTGAGTAGAAACTCAGTTTAGTCCCTTTCCATCCTCCGAGTTATCAGCCAATAGCCAGTGCGGTATGCGCTGCTTTATCTGTTGTGCCGTTTGCTGAGGCCTTGTCTCAAGAGTTCTTCCCCTATTCTAGGTAGACCCGGCATACACAGGGCGAGTTGGGGCGAGCGAAGCTGCGCTTTTTCTAAAGAAGTCCGGGCTCTCAGACATTATCCTTGGGAAGGTACGTGAAAATGGATAATGACCTCTCTTCTGAGGCTGCCTTCTGCGCTGCCCCGGCAGGTGAAGGCCAGACCCCTTTTCCAGGGGATGTGCCTCTTGGGGAGTGGGCTGGCCACTGTGAGCCTCTCAGGCTATAACCGGTGGCTATTCCATTTCCGGCTTGGGCAGCAGTCAAGAGGCCTGAGTGCTTTTGGGATCTTGACAGCTTATGGCTTTGGAGCCGAGTGGACCTGGGTGTTCTCTAGGTTCTGCCGCTGACCAGCTGTGTGCCCGTGGGGGCAGGGGGAGGGGCAGGTCATTCAGCTGGTCCAGACTTGCTTCCTCACCCACAGCTCAGGAATGTCCACTCCAGCCGACACGTAAGGCCCGCACGCAGTTGTGGTGGCTCCTGTTCTGTGAATAAATGGACAGTGATGGGCAGTTGCACTCATGAGCATTTTTATGTTTCCACAGATATGGGACTTGGCCGACCCAGAAGGTAAAGGGTTCTTGGACAAACAGGTATATATACACACACACACACACACAGAGCAAGTGGAGGGGCTTGGGCCAGAACCCCGCAGGCAGGGTGACCTCTGCACGTCCTTCCTTGTCATTGCCGTGGACAAGTATTACTAGACCTGAGCGCGGCCATCAGACTATTAACATGGGAAGGTTTCGTTTTGAAACATGGGTCTTCTGAACACTTGGGAGCCATCTTTCATGGTTAGCGTATCTTTTTTTTTTTTTTAATTTGTGTGCTTACAAGTGATGAAAATGTTTTAAGACTGATCTATTTTGAAATAACTTAAGACTCATGGAAGTTGCAAAAATAGTTCAGAGAGTTCCGGCGTATCCTTCATCAGTTTCCCAGAGCAAGAGCAGCTTATGTCACCATAGCTTGGTGCTCAGAGGCCGGCACAGTGCTAACCTGGAGGCCTTGCTCAGGGCTGGCCAGTTTTACGTGGACTTTTTTGCGGGGGGGAGGTTTGGTGTGTATAATTCTGTGTAATTTTATCACGTGCACAGATTCATTTAATGACCACCACAGTCAGGACACAGGACTGCCTGGCCGCCAGAAGAATCTTGTGTTGTCCCGCCGCAGTCACACCCTAACCCCTGGCAACATACTGGTTCCTTCTCCAGCATGATTTTGTCATTTTGAGAATGTTCTGTAAATGGAAATTTATAGTACTTACAAATGATTTTAAACGGTTGTATTTTAATTAAGTTCAGTTGTCCCCCAAACTGTATCCCAAGGGATGTCGTTCCTGGTGTCCCACTGTCCGTGATCTGATCCATTGGGAAAACAATATCAACTCTTCCTCCCTTCCTTGAGGTTCGCACTGTATGTCTGCATGTTGAAAGATTCTGAGGATCCTTGTGGACAAGAAATCTGTTAACTTGGCCTAATGCAGTTCCCAGAAACTTTCTTACATCCCCTTTTCTGTGAAACTTTCTTATAGCCCCCACCCCGGGCATTTGGACATCTGTCTGAGAAAGGCTGATCCAGCGCTTGTCTCTTTAAAGATATTTTTAAGCTGTTATTGTGTTTATAGCTTTAAAACAGTTCATGTTCTCAGGCTATTTGATCAATTAAGAAAATTAGATGATGCTTTGTGAGTCCACTAAGCCTGTGGCATGGCTGGCTCTGGGTTAAGAGGAGGGCGAGAGGAGCAAAGGCCCCTTATGGCCTAGTTCAGGTCCTTTGTCCTGGCAGTGTGGGAGGTGAGATCCACATTAGGCCATGGGGGTGGGGGGCAAGTGGGACAGGCGGTCTACAGCAAGGCTAAGGGGAGCACAGTGAATTGTTTTGGTTCCCAAACAACTATGTCTTTTTCAAACCATTTTTTAAAAAGTCAATACATAACTGAATCATCATTTATTATAATCTTAAACTCTAGTCTGCTGCTTATCTAATCCAGCATTTTCCTAAATATCGGGAGCTCATTGTTGCTTAAAATACATTTATTTGGGGGCCTCCTGGCCGGGTCAGTGGGTAGAGCATGTGACTCTTGTTCTTAGGGTCGTGAGTTCAAGTCCCACATTGGACATAAAGCTTACTTAAAAAATAATAAAGGTAAAAAAAATACATTTATTTGAAATTTGGCAGTGTCCAGAGTGCAGTGGACTGAGTCCACTTGGCATATTCTTGGAATCCGTACTCCCAGGGGGAGATGTGTTCCGCTTAACATCTAAGTGACTTTCGCACATGGAGTCTTCATTGTTGCTGTGATGTGAAATCCCTGTGTCCCGAAGCCTGCGGCGGCAGGCAGCTCTCCCTGTCATCACCAGCCGGCAAGAGTTTACCCCTCCCTCTGTTTTGGATTTGCAGGGTTTCTATGTTGCACTGAGACTAGTGGCCTGTGCACAGAGCGGCCACGAAGTTACCTTGAGCAATCTGAATTTGAACATGCCGCCACCTAAATTCGTAAGTGTGCTCGTCTAATATCATCTGTCCAGCTGTGTGTTTTCTCTCTCTCTTTTTTAATTGAGGTGGAATTCACATAACCTAAAACTCACCATTTTAAAGTGAACAACTTACTGACATTTAGTACAGTCACAGTGTTTTTTTGTTTTTTTGTTTTTTTGTTTTTTTAACAACCGGCCCCTCCCTCTAGTTCCAGAACGTTTTCATCAGCCCAAAAGGAAGCCCTTTACCTACTAAGTAATCCCTCATGGGATCCCCGCCTCCCAGCCCCTGGCAGCCATTCATCTCTCTGTCTGAATGGATTTGCCTGTTGTGGGCACTTTGCGGAATCCTAGATCACCTGCTTTCCCTCTGCAGTGCTCCATAGTGGGTGTCAGTGCTTGGTTCCTGTTCACTGAGTCAGACCGCATTTTATGGTCTGTCCCTTCCTCTGCTGGTGAACATGACGATTCATTTCTGGGATTTTGTTTGCATGCTTGTTTTCAGTTCTCTTGGGTCCATACCTTGGAGTGAAATTGCTGGGACGTATAGTAATTCTGTGTTTAACTTTTTGAGGTCTTTCCCCATTCTGAAAGCACTTTGAAACGTGTGTCCTTTACACAAACGTGTCCTCCGTAGTTGAATTCCTTGCCAGCCACAGTGGAGTGTTTCTCTTCCTTTACAGCACGACACCAGCAGCCCTCTGATGGTCACGCCGCCCTCCGCAGAGGCCCATTGGGCTGTGAGGGTAAGTGACCCTGGCAGCGTCTCTCAGCTGTCCTTCATGTGCAGTTGTTTTAGCCATTTATGGTGTTCAGAACGTGGCATGAGACGATTGTATCTGTTCTGTTTCAGAGTGAGTTTGCCACTGACTTTAGGCAAGACACTCTTTCAGATTAAAATCTTTTGAAATAGCCGTGAACTTTTTTGGGCGTTGCCCTGCTAAGGCAGTTAGAATTTCAGGCGATGGAGTCTTAAAATTTTACAGTTACAGTTACAGTTAGCATTTCTGGGTCACAGTCTGTGGTTTTTGCTTCCTGGGTTCGCTAATCAGGATAGAAGGGCCAGTTGTGAGAACTTGCAAGCATGAAAACCTCCCAAGATGTCTTTGTAGCTCCCAGTTTTTCTTTCTAGCCAGTTTCTGTGTTATTATCCCTTTTGGATGCTCTCATTGCTTTTTGGAAAGCTTCTCTCAGTCCCTGGGGGGATGGTCTCCATGTCCCAAGTCTCTCTAGAAGCAGCAAAGACAGATATGAGTAGTGACCTCTAAGAGGTGCAGAGTTAGTCCTAAAGGAAGTGCGTGTGCTGTGCTTCCATCGCCTTGGGGGCGGTGTCTGCATGTGCTCGCCTTTCTGTTTTGTTTTCTTTGTAATTGTGGTAGAGTATACGTGATATGAAGTTCACCATCTTGGCCTTTTTTTTTTTTTTTTTTTAGTGATTTATTTATTTTAGAGAGAACACACGCATGCACGTACATAAGATGTGTGCACGTGGAAGGGAAGGGCAGGGAGAGGGAGAGAGAGAATCTCAAATAGACACCATGCTGAGCAGGGAGCCCAGTGTAGGGCTTAATCCCACAACCCTGAGGTCATGACCTGAGTTGAAACCAAGAGTCAGATGCTCAACTGATTGGGCCACCCGGGTGCCCCCACCATCTTGACCATTTTTAAGCGTATAGTCCAGTACCGTTAGGTACGTTTGCACTGTTATGCAGCTGTCTCCACCAGCCGTCTCTAGAACTTTCTTTTCACTCCAAACTGAGACTCTGTCCCCATTAAGCACTAACTCCCTCCTCCCCGCCCCAGTCCCTAGCACCCACCAGTCTCCTTCCGTCTCTGAGAATGTGACTCCTCTAGGGCCTCATAGGAGTGGAGTGATACAGTACCTGTCCTGTGGTGGCTGGCTTCTTTCAGTCAGCATAATGTCCTCAGGGTTCATCCATGTTGTCGCCTGGGTCAGAAGCTCCTGTTTTGCGGCTGAGGAATATTCCAGTGTGTGAATGCACCACATTTTGGTTATCCATTCTGTCTACAGACGCTTGTGAGGGTTTCTTAGTGCTCCCCGTGGCTCCAGCTCATGGGTAGAGCGGGTGGTGAGGGGTCTGGCGCATCCCCCCCCCACCGGGTCTAGTCACTGGGGGTTTCATTTCCGGAGGAGAGCAGACTGCCCCTGCCCAGACCTGCCTCACCGACGCCCCTTGGACACACTGCCCGCGTTTCCTATTTCACAGTGGCTGCAGCTGCCGCTCTGCATTGTAAGTCCTGTTCAGACCTCTCTGTTCATGAGGAACTTTTAGAATTTAGTTTTGTACTCTGAGAGGACTTCCTGTGCTTAAAGTTGATTTTGATAATTGGTTGCTTAAGTTTTGGTTTATTTTTTTCTTTGATTCTTGAGCTCTTTTAGTTCTGTAGGTTGATATCCAGATTTAGTTGTCTCAAAGAACGAAAACCCATCTTCACTTTCCTCTTTCCCGTCTTAGTGAGTTCCTAGGAGGGGGTAGGGGCGATCTTTGTCTCCTAGGCAGCTCCTGTGGTGGCGAGCGAGGCCCACGGCCAGGTCCTGTCTCCCCGTAGACCTTGGCTGCCAGATTCATAGTTGCTAGGGAGCTCTTTCCTTCAGGGCAGGTGTTCACTTTGAAACTGCTGTAAGGCCTCCTGTGCTTTTAGGTGAGGCCGGTGGCAGGTCCTTGCCTGTTTTCATTCAGCTTCGGGCCAGAGCTCATTTTGGATTCTCCCCCAGATGCGCTTTTTTTACTCACTCAGGCTATTCTTTTCCAACTAGGTGGAAGAAAAGGCAAAATTTGATGGAATTTTTGAAAGCCTCTTACCCATCAGTGGTTTGCTCTCTGGAGACAAAGTCAAGCCAGTCCTCATGAACTCAAAGCTGCCTCTTGACGTCCTGGGCCGGGTAAGTGGTTCTCCCACGTCCTGCACTGCTGCTGACTTCCGTCCGCCCCATGCTTGCTCCCCACACACACTTATGAGGCTTTACACACGGCTATGAACCATCAGGGCTTTTTGTAAGAGCCAATGTGCATGCAGAATTTGCTATGGTCACGTTGGCTTAGGACCTCATGGCTCACAGATGCGCCCCAGCCTGTGGGAAGATGCTGGTGGGCCTTTTGCATGCCTAGGGAGGCAGCCTCAGAATGAACTTGCTGCCCAGGGACCAGAGATGGGCAGAGGTGAGATTTGAACCCAGATCTGGGATTTCCACTGCTCCTTGTGCTTCTGGGAGAAGTATGGGAGTGTATGTCTAGAATTCTTTGCTTCTTTTCTATTTTTTTTTTTTTTTAAGATTTATTTATTTTAGAGAGAGAGAGAGAGAATGAGCGGGAAGAGCAGAGAGAGGGGAGAGAGACTCTCAAACGGACTCTGCACCAAGCGTGGAGCCCAACACGGGGCTCAGTCAGACCTGGGACGATGCCAAGAGTTGGATGCTCAACTGACTGTGCCACCCAGGCGCCCCTCTTTTCTATTTTTAATTACTTTTTCTCTGCCTGTGAGCTTAAGATAAAGGTACTTTAAATTTTGCTGCAGGTTTAGAGAAAAATTTATGCATTCTCTTAAGAAAAAGCTTTTAGTTTTGTTCCTATTAAATCCAAGTTTTTCAGATGCAGCTTTCTATGCCAGACAGTCTTCCCTCAAGTGAGGTTTGCATCGTGGCCCCATGGGTTTGCTCTGTGCACAGAGCTCAGTTCCACAAGGCTGTCCGTACTGAGTTCCCTGCTCTATACCGAGAAGGGATGGATGTTGTCGTCTGTCCGGACTGGATCACGGCGACGTGGCAGGCACAGACACAGAGCAGGGGACTGAGCATAGTCCCTGATGCCCCAGGCAACACCTGTGGGTCTAGGTCATGACATTGAGTAAAACTTTTTGGGAAAGATGCAAATTCCTTTCCCTTGGATTCACCTAATAAGGTTTCCTTTTGAGTATGACTTTTGTGGACACTGGCCCATTTGATAGGACCCAGATAGAGCCCATCTTAATACTTTGTTTTTGAAAGAAGGCCACTAAGAAAGGGGAATCTTTCAAACTGCTTTGTTCCCTCTTGGCTGTGGCATGGTGTAGACGGAGCTCTGTGATGGGGACCGAGCGTCTTTACAAGGCATGAGTTTTAACTGCAGCAGGATGGGGCCACCCTGTCCTGCCCATTGTGTGCATTTATTTGGCAGTCCTTGCATACTCCCTGACACCTGGATATAATCCTGTTCTGGAGCCAGATCATGAGCGCAACAGAGAGACTGGCAGAGGTGGAGTGGGCTTCATTAGAAAGGGAGTGTGGCTGGGAAGGGTGCATTCTCTAGATCTGCCCGGGCTCCGGGTCTTGTGGCACACGGGTCACTTCTCATCTGCTGCGCTCTCCTTCCTTCCTTTTCCACACACATCAGCCTTATGTGCACCCATTCCAGCATGTACACACGCACCCATCCGTGCACTTTGCCGTATCCGCGCACACATGCGTTCATAACCATGCACCCGTCCATCCGCGGAGCTGTCCGTCCCTGATGCGTGCGTCAGTGAGCTTACGCGCCCAGGCCTCTGTGCTGGTGCTCGTCCATCTGTGCTTCATGCGCCAACCGTCCTTTCAGTCGTTCAGGAAGTTTGGAGTCTGCTCGGGGCCAGGCCTTGTGCTGAGCACCACGAGGATGGGGATGCAATTAGAGTTAGGATGTCAAGGAAATGAATAATGGTTAAGATGGTTGTATTTATTTATCGAGGGCTTGCTATATGCCAAGCCCCATTACAGCACTTTGCATGAATGAATTCCTTCAGGACTTGCAACCGCCTTGTTGTGGACGGCGTTCCTTCTGTGTTCTAGATGAGGGAAAGGGGGCCTTCAGGGTGGCCAGTAAGCCTCTCAGGGTCTCACGGTGAGGGGAATGAGAACCTAGGTGGTTCGCAGAGCCCTCACTTTTCCCTGGTGACCCCCTGTTGCCCATTGCCTCCCCGATAATTGTGATTCTGCCCGGTAAGGGCAGTGGCAGAGGGGAGGTGCCCGATCCGCCAGAGCAGAAGGGTAGAGGGCAGGCAGGGAAGGCTTCCTAGGGTAGCCACTTCAGGGCTGTGTCCTCCAGAGTGAAGAGATGGTGGCTAACGATGGCATGAGAAGGCCAGATGCATGACAGCATGAGCAGAGGCTGCTGGGGAGAGCCGGTAATCTTACCAGGTCCTTCCTCCCCCAGGGATGTTGAGCAGCGTCTGGAGACAGTTCTGGTTGTCCCACCTGGGCTGGATGTTGTTGGCATCGGGTGGAGGCCGGGGACGCTGCTCAGCAGCCCAGGTCAGCCCCACCACAGGGTGATGCGGTCCCGGATGTCAGCGGTGCTGAGGTAGAGAGGCCCCGGGCAGGGAGAGGCATGGAGCCAGGAAGTCTTGTTCTAGTCCTAGTTCCCCGAGCAAGTACCATAGCTTTGGAAAAGTTATTCTTTTTTTTTTTTTCCTTAAGATTTTATTTATTTATTTAACACAGAGAGAGATCACAAGTAGGTAGAGACACAGGCAGAGGGTCGGGGGAAGCAGGCTCCCCACTGAGCAGAGAGCCCAATGCGGGGCTCGATCCCAGGACCCTGAGATCATGATCTGAGCTGAGGGCAGAGGCTTAACCCATTGAGCCACCCAGGCGCTCCTGGGAAAATTATTCTTTGTGAACTTCTGTTTCCTAAAGTGAAACCGGACGCATAAAGCACTGAGCCTGATGCAGAACGCTCTGCAAGGGCATCTCTGGGCTTGAAAGGACTATCAACATCTTGGGCTCCCTAGAGATCAAGGTGGGGTTCCTGGAAGCTGGGCTGCAGTGCAGGGACCTGTGTAGGTCACAGGGGGTCCATGTGCCAGTCTAGGGGGCAGACACAGACTGTATTCTAGAACAGTCCACATAGTAATCCTGGGGAAAGAATTAGAGGCAAAGAGGCCAGCTGGAAGCTGTGGCCTTTGTGGAGTACCAGAGAGGCCCAAGTTAAGGACAGCAACAGGGCTGGGGAGAAGGACCTGCACATGAGAGATGTCCCTGGGCTGATGTCGCTCATGATTGACCGAGAGGAGACCAGCACATGAAGCACCACGTTTGGATGCCAAGGTGTCTGCTTACCTCTGGGCACTGGCACCGTGCCCAGCGTTGTCCGAGTCAGGCAGGCATGCTGGTTCGGGGTGGGGCTGACTTGGGTCAGGAAGCTAGTGCTTTGATTGTGCTTTAGAAAAATCTGGCACCTCGCCTTTGACCCAGTATAGGAATCTGTACCTGTCTGCCTCATCTTCAGGGTGCTAGGTGGGCCAAGCATACTTGGAAACACCTGCCTCCCCATCCACCAGTAGCGAACGCATGCCCACGGCCCTGCACCATGTGAATGGCAGTGGGGGGGGCTTGTGTTCGGAGCCACACCTGTGCCAGAATCAAAACACGTTTTCTATCTGAGAATTCCTTGTAAGGTGATAAAAAACCAAGGTGGACAGGGTTATAATTATGATCATTTGTTAGAGAAAGCAAACACGATATAACAAAAAGGATCTTGGAATTGATGATACTGCATCAGCTGATGGCTTTTCAGAGAACCCACTGACTGGTTCTTGACTGCATTGTGATTGCCTTGTCTCAAGCCTGCTCTGCACCGGGCGCTCGGAATCGGGGTTCCGGCAGGTGTGCTTCCTTCCCCAGTAAGCCTTGCTCTCTTTCCCTTGCAGGTCTGGGACCTCAGTGACATCGACAAGGATGGGCACCTGGACAGAGATGAGTTTGCTGTGGTAGGCCCCTGCTGTGACTCTCTTTTCTCACTCTGCCGAGGAAGGAAATGTTTCTTGAGTCATGGGTTTTTTTTTTCCCCTCTAATTTTTAAAAAGTGTTTATTTTGATGTACTTTGGATTTAAAGAAAAAGTGACAGTAATACAGAGAGTTCTTCTGAGTACCCTTTGGTCACATTCCCCAGTGATACTTTTTTCCCACATTGCTTTATCCTCCTCCTCCCTCTCTCCCTCTCTCACCATATGCATGTATGTATACACACACCTAAATCTTTCCTTCGAGCCATTCTGGAGTCAGTTGCAGACATCATACCTTTTTGTCCCAGAATACTTGTGTATATTTCCCCAAACCAGGGACTTAACATACCCCGTGTCCAATTCAAAATGAGAAAATTAACATTGACAGTGACTGGTTTATCAGAGTGTCTGTTACATGTCTTATCATATAGCATCTGTGTTAATATGTCATTAGGTATTACCTAAGGATATCATTCAGACCTTGTCATTTGTCCCCAAACATCCTTTGCAGCAAAGAAGTCCCAGCCTCCTGTGTTACATTACTCAGCTCCGTCTCTATCGTGACCTCTGATCTGGAGCGACTCCGTGTGTCTGTGTCTTGTGGGCATTTTATTTTATTTTATTTTTTTAAAGATTTATTTATTTATTTATTTGACCAAGAGAGATCACAAGTAGACAGAGAGGCAGGCAGAGAGAGAGAGAGAGAGAGAGAGAAGCAGGTTCCCTGCTGAGCAGAGAGCCCGATGTGGGACTCGATCCCAGGATCCTGAGATCATGACCCGAGCCCAAGGCAGTGGCTTAACCCACTGAGCCACCCAGGCGCCCCCTTGTGGGCATTTTAAAGAGTGCCGGTCAGCAGTCTGTAGAGCGTCCCTCAGCCTGGGGATATTGGCTGTTTCCTCATGATGATCCAGTTCGTGCACTCGTGTGGTGATCCCACCGAGGTGATGCTTGTCTTTCTCAGGGTCCACCATCGACAGGACCTGTGATTCCTTACCCCATGGTGTCAGCCTTGACTGCTGTTGGTGGAGGCTGCAGGTTTCTCCCTGCAGAGTTACTGTCTTCCTGTGTGCTCAGTCTCTTGTGGGAGACACATGGGGACTGGACCACCCCATTACCCTTCCACTTCTCACCTGCTGGTTCTCGCATTGTCCCAGGAGTCTCGCCTGATTGACAAGTGTGATGGTTGGCAGATGAGTTTCTTATTCTGGCACTTGCACGTTTTCTGCTTAGCCTACTATAAGGAGTTTGTATCAGTGGACTCGGGACTGCATCCTCTGTTCCACGGTTTATAATCATTTAGTGGTGTGACTTACTTTGCCCATTTGGAGCTCCTCCCCGCTGTCTCCTTTGTCCTTTGGGCACATCCCATCATTGTCTGAGTGCTTTCTTCCTTTTGGCATGGTGGGATGCTCCTGGCTCCTCCTGTGTATTTCCTGTCCCAGCCCTGTACCTCCAGGGAGCCCCAGTTCCATGTAGTGGAGAGTGGTGTTAGAAACCAAGATGTAGGCTCTGGGGTGCTCAGTGCCCCTGGGGTGCCACTGCTTTCAGGACCTCTTAGTAGATAGAGCTGGAAGTAGGTGTGTATATATACGCCCAGCAGGTGCCCTGAGGCTCCACGATTTGCTTTCCGTCTGCTTATGTCTGGGCCCTGGCAGCCCTGCCCTCTTCTCCTTTTGATAGCAGTGATATGTCTGTGTTGATCAGGGCTCTCCTGTCCTATAGGCTGCCTTTCCATGCAGCTGCTCCCTCCACACCCCTGTAGCTCCCCATCTTCCTCTTCAGCTGCCCAGCGGTCAGGCTCTCGTCCTCACATGCCAGCTCTCCTCACCCTGGGCTTGTGTCGTTCTGTCTCTCCTCTCATTCCTCCCTTTCCTCCACCTCATATCTTGGACCTTTCCCATTCATGGGACTTATTCACTCACTTGTTCCCTTAAATCTCAAACAAAGTAGAACAAAGTAGCTTCTTGTAGTTAAGGGCAGTGTGGTTTTTTGTTTTTAAAGATTTATTTGTTTATTAGAGCATAAGCAAGTGAGCACAAGCAGGGGGAAGGACAGAGGGAGACGGAGAGAGAGAATTGCAGGCAGACTGCACACTAAACCTGGAGTCCGACACAGGGCTCTGTCTCATGACCCTGAGACCATAACCTGAGCCAAAATCAGGAGTTGGGCCCTTAAGCCGCCGAGCCATCCCAGGAGTCCCATCCCAGGATACCTTATTTTATTTTTTAAAATAAAAAAATGATTATTATTTTTTATTGTGGCAAAATAAATAGAACATAAAATTTTACTGTCATAGTCATTTTCAAGTGTGTGGTTCGGTGGCATTAATACTTCCACGTGGCTGTGCAGCTGTTACCACCTTCTATCTCCAGGACCCTTCATCTTGCAAAACTGAAACTCTGTCCCCATTGGACACTATCTTCCCCATCCCCCAGTCCCTGATTATTTAGTTTTTGTATTTTCTCTGATCACACTGTCATCGAACTGCTCTTGGGGTGATTCCCAAGAATGGGATGGATGGCCCAGAGTGAACCTGGGCCTGTGCCCCTCTCTTCATGGCCTCAGGAGCCCTGAGTTTCTGTTCTTGTTATGTTTTTATCATTTCCCATCATTTCAGCTGAGATGTATAGTGTTCTATAAATGGGTCTTAGAATTGTATCATTTGGGTTTCTTTTAATCACTTGCTGGGTTTAACATTCTGTGGTGGTTTTAAGTGATGGTAAATTTTATGTATGTCAGTGATCTGGTCTCTATTCAAATAGCAACTTAAGGAATATTTTTAAGCGGGAAGGGTTATAATTTTGGTTTGATTTTTGTTACCTTTTTTTTTGAGAGAGGGGTGGGGGAGAGGGGCAGAAGGAAGAGGGAGAGAGAGAATCTTAAGCAGGCTCCATGCCCAGTGTGGACATGACCTCATCCGAAATCAAGAGTCAGAGGCTGAACCAACTTAGCCACCCAGGGACCCCTGGTTTTGTTAAATCTATGTATTAGACAAAGTTTCTTTTCTTTGCCCACCTGAAACAGGAAGTACACACAGGTGCTCGCAGTGTGTCTTTAGACTTCCAAATTCCAGTATTTGGGGACTTCTCAGCCCTGGGGCTGTGTGGTGAAGGGACATGTGCAGAGTCTGGCGTGATTGAATTCCTTTCGGGCTCATGTTGGTCTTATGTGATTAAACACATCTTGGAAAAATGATGCTTTGGAAGAGAACGCATCAGGAAAGGTTTATTTTATTATTATTATTTTTAAAGATTTTCTTTATTTATTTGACAGAGAAAGATCACAAGTAGGCAGAGAGGCAGGCAGAGGGGGGGGCGGGAAGCCGGCTCCCTGCTGAGCAGAGAGCCTGATGCAGTGCTCGATCCCAGGACCCTGAGATCATGACTTGAGCTGAAGGCAGAGGCTTAACCCACTGAGCCACCCAGGCGCCCCAGGAAAGGTTTATTTTTTACTCTGTTAAGCTTGGAAGTGACCTCAGAAAGAGCAGTCCTTGTCACATCACTGCCATCCTGGAAAGAGATGCGCATTCCCCACCCATGGCCTGTGCCTGGCCACCTGAACGGAATCCTCTTTCACACCCACAGGCGATGCACTTGGTGTACCGAGCCCTCGAGAAGGAGCCTGTGCCCTCTGTCCTGCCCCCGTCCCTCATCCCACCTTCCAAGAGGAAGAAGACGGTCTTCCCAGGCGCTGTGCCTGTCCTGCCCGCCAGCCCCCCGCCGAAAGACAGCCTCCGCTCCACACCTTCCCACGGCAGCGTCAGTAGCCTGAACAGCACGGGAAGCTTGTCTCCCAAGCATAGCATCAAGCAAACACAGGTACGGGTGCCCTCTGTGTGTGGCCCCTTTTCAGAGCCGCCGTTTGCCCCTGTAGAGTCCCAGCCAGATGCTCCTGGAGAGCAAGTAATTTGGGAACCCAGAAAGGTAACATTGATGATTACAGTTTTTGTTTTTTGTTATTTATTTTTTTAAAATATATTTTTAAAAAGATTTTATTTATTTGTCAGAGAGAGAGAGAGAGAGAGCGAGCGAGCGCACACACAGCCAAGGGAGCGGCAGGCAGAGGGAGAAGCAGGCTCCCCACTGATTGAGTAGCCTGACGTGGGGCTCAGTCCCCCACCCCTGGGATCATGACCTGAGCTGAAGGCAGATGTTTAACCGACTGAGCCACCCAGGTGCCCCATGATTATGTTTTTTAGAACAATATTTATGGTCAGTATCTTACTCTGAGTGTAATGGAATACCATAGACTAGGTGACTGACAAACATTTATTTCTCACAGAAAATCCGGATGTTGGGAAGTCCAAGATCAGGCACTGGCAGATTCTGTGTCTGATGAGAGCCCAATTCTGGGCTCACAGATGGTTTTCTTGCCGTGTCCTCACGTGGTGCAGAGGACAAGGGAGCTCTCTGGGGTCCTTTCTATGAGGGCAGTGATCTCATTCATGGAGCTCCGCCCTTATGACCTAATCCCCTCCAGAGGCCCTGCTTCCCAACACCATCACATCAGGATTAGGGTTTTAACATACGAACTCTGGGGTTGGAGGGGGCACAATCATCAAGTTCGTAGCCACAGGGATTCAGAGTTAGGTTTCTCATTCATTTGCGCACAACTACCTCAGACACTCTGCTTGCTCCCACCTCTGGGCTCTGTCCTCTCGCCTCCGTCCCTCCTGCCTCAGGAAGCGCCTCTGCTGGGCAGGCGCAGTCCCAAATCCTACCCCAGCACTTTGTTTCATGAGGCCTCCGCTCGTGTGGGGCACCTTACCAGGGGGCTGGGGCATGACTGCAGTCAGCATGCCCTGGGCTCTGTCCATCCTGCATTCTAGGTTCCCCCTGCCTGGCTTGTTACGCAGTTAGTTATGTGTCATCTGTCTCTTCCTCCCATGTCCCTCCCCCTTAGCTTCTGAGAGCGGAGTTAGTTCGTGTTTCTGCTCTCAGTGTCACAGCAATCCCAGGTGCTCTGGTGCTCAGTAAACACGCTGAGTGTCACGTGAGTGAGGGAGGCTTCCATCTCGTGTTTGGAAGACAGTGTGGGGCTCTGACTCCCAGCGGGCAGTGTCTTATGTATCAGAAAGACATTTCTTGTTCTGGCAAATGTAGCACACCATAAAGGGCTCTTTTATAAAAAGGCACCTTTGAGATGATCTAAAACGTGCAAGAATGTGACATCCTGAGTTCCATGTTGAGTCAGGCTTTGCATTCTGCCTCATTTGTGGTTTAAGGGGGAAAGCAGTGCAGGTGACATGAAGAGGGCCAGCCCGGACTGCCATGCAGGTTCGGATATGAACCATAAGAGTAGAAATGGGAAGCCATCTTGTGTTGGTCAGTAAGTGACAAAGTCTGCTAGGAATGGCTGTGGCGCTCACTTGGGCCCCCATGACTTATGGTGAGCCCCCGCCGGCACTTCCCCGCCCCAAGCAAATGTCTTTGTGGCTCTTGTTCGGATTGCAAAATGCATTTCATCAGCAACCAGCAGGAAAATTCAAAAAACCAAGGTTGATGACTCACAGGTCCTGTAGAAAGTGCCTCACACCCAGGGCCTCCCCACCAGCAAGGCCAGGGCTAGAGAGAGCAAGCTTGGGCACGGGGCTCTGGCTTTTTGGGGTTGAGGATGGGGGCCTAGGGTTTCTCGGGTTCACTCTTCGCTGGTGAGTTTAAAACGTAACAGTGGAAATGAAAGCATGGGACGGGAAAAGTGGGATCACTTAGACGGCCAGCTATCTAGGCCACCCTGGCTTTCCCAGGGGACCGTCATGGGCCGGCCTGGCTCTTTCTCTAGTTGTGTGGCTGGCAATGTGTTCATCTGAAGTGGATTTTTTTGAAATGGGTGCCTCAGCAACCAAAAGCTTAATGGCAGGCACTTAAATTACAATCAGAAAATGAATTGTCAGGCACTTAACGCTCCAGAAATACATGATCAGATGGTGATATCCTCCTGCATGTGACATAGTTGTAAAGTTAAGCATTCCACTTGGTGTTGGCAGGGAGGGGAGCTCATTTTCCAGGAGCTTGCGGCACCATAGAGCGAACGTCCTTTCCGACAGGGTCGAGATGGTTTGGTCAGGGGGACAATACAGCCCCCCTCACTGCCCCAGCTGCTGGGAGAGGCACAGGCGACAGGGCTTCCCCTCCGGTGGGTGGGTGTCTCTTAACAAGCCACACGTCCAGGTGACCCAGTCTGGGCATCTCCAGCAGCTCCGCAGCCCACCAACCGTGCCCGCACTTCCTGGGGATGCCGCCATGGCCGTGGGACTGGCCTCTGCCCTCGGGGAGATAGACAGTAAGCGTATCAGTGAACTAAGGATGATCAGATAGCTGTGAGAAGCAGAACAGCCTGGCCCGGGAGTTGTGGGGTAAGGAGGTGGGGCTGCTCCTACAGATGGCAGTCAGCTGGAAGGTCACTAAGGAACCGATACCTGGGCTGATACCTGAATGACAAAAATCCATCGGAGGACTAGCCCGCGCCAAGGCTCCTTCATGGGAACCTCTAGAAACAGGAAGGAGGGTGGGATGGAGTCTGAGAGGGGGCCAAGGCTGGTAACTTAGACTGCATGAGCTGTTTTCCAGGACCACCAGCACGTGTGTCTGCAAAATTCTTGCCGAGCGTTCTTACTAAGTACTGTAGGTTAGGTTAGTGGTGACAGGTTTTACTGACAAAGAAGCAAGTGGGGCCAAGGCTGCTGACAGGTACAGGCCAACCAGCCTTGTAATTCCTGTCCTTGGTGATCTGGTGGCTCTTGCCAGATCCTGGGAGCACGCTGCTGATTGCAACTAGACCTGTTTTACCAGGGACCTCTGTCTGGGTCGGGGTGGGAAGAAGCGGGTGTGCTCCCTTCCCCAAGGATGAGGACAGTTAGTGGAGTCACATGAGAACGAGCAGTTCTGGAGACCCACAGTCACCAAGCCATCCCCTCCCCTACTTCTCTCCCCACCAGCTTGGGGCCACCAGGTCCTGTCTTCACAGCTGGCCGTGGGGTGCAGCTCCTGCCAGACACCAGGCCCTGTTGTCATTTATTGGTGGCCTGTGGCTGCTAAGCCAGCCTTAAAGCCAGCCTTTTCTGGGAGAGCCAGCTCCAAGGAGAAGGCTGTCCCACGTGAGATTTGTAGTGAAGTAGGCTTCAGAGTGTCACTGCCGACCTCCTGTGAGACCCCAGAAATCAGGCAGCAAGCTCATTCCGTGTGCATGTGGAATGTTAGGATTTTTGCCATCCCAGCGTTGTAATCTCTTAGGACTTGTGGAGCACAGAAACCGTTGTTTCCCTCAGCTTAGCTTGTCTGGTCTGTTGTTACTTCCTCCTCGGGTTTCTTGGCATCTGGGGCTTAGCTTACCCCAGCCACTGAGCTTAGAGACAGCCGGCCTCTTCGTTAGAGGTCCTTCACGTGCCTCTCCGTGACCACTCTGAGACAGCTTACTAGATCCACAGAATGAGACAAGTGAAGTGCAGGTCTTTCTCCTTATCTAAATTCCTGCTCCCTGAGCCCTTGCTATTTGAATTTGGTCCATAGATTCTGATAATTCTTTGCTGGACTAACTCATTCTCCCCCTCCAGAATCCTGGAACTGAAATGATCCGGGTAACGTGGTATCCCTTGCTTCCCACCCTTGCTTTCTGGAGTCCCAGTGCTCATGCTGGATTTGGGTAACGACAGAGATTGATTCAGAAAGAGCAGATGAGGAAAAACGTGTCTAGGAAAAGGGGCAGAGGTGCCATGAAACTTGGTTCCATAAGTATGCCAAAGGTCAGAGGTGACATGTCCAGAATTAGCAGCTGAAGGGGCCCTGATGCCCCTGAATTAGGAGGTGCATGGGCCCTGATGGGCCCTTGGTGGCATTTGCCCCTTCATGTAGACCTGAGCAGGCCATGGGAGGGGTCACACATGCAGCAGCTGGCCAAGCCATGGTTGCCAAGACCGCCCTATGTGGGGTTCACAGATCCGTTTAGCTCCATGTGCTGGGGCGGTGCCCTCGAGGGTGGGGGGCCCTTGCGGGTGGCAGGCATGCTCATCTGGGGCCCGGGCTCCCCTGCCAGCACCAGAGGGCCCAGGGCACCTGTCCATCCAGCAGACACTGTTTTCACGTCCGCCTCATTCACTCCCCGTCAGTCAGTGTCAGGTACGTGCTGGCACCCCATGGGGACACTGCTGTGTCACAGGGAATGGAGTCAGGGACAGGGACAGAGTACAGGATCCTGAGCGGTGGGCACAAGAACTCCTCTGGCAGCTGCAGAGAAGTGTTTGCAGACAGAAGACGAGAGGACCAGGAGGGCTGGCTTGGGCGCGGGGCTGTTTGGTTCTCAGGAGACCGTCCTTCTGATGTGGGCCTTCAGGAGGGTCTCCCCAGCACATTTGAACCCCCACCTGGAAGGAAGTCAGCGGCTTCCCTCCGAGCCCCTTCAGACCTGTTGCGGCTTTGCCTCCCTCTGAATACAAGGGGCAGGGGGTGCCACGATGGCATGGGAGAGGTGTACTGTGGCCACTGGAGGAAGCTGACTGAGTGCTGTCCACTGCTCTCAGCCTCAGTTTCCCCACTCACAGAATGGGGCTCCTGTCTGCCCTCTGGGTTTGTGGAGTCATGCTACCCATGTGCGCGGAGAAGTGCTTTACTAGTCCTCCCAGCAGGAGCGCACGGAGGAGCTTTATAAGCACTGTGTGTGGTGCTGAGAAGCTGGGGACCAACCATTTGCAACCCCTTTCAGCCCACGGTGAGCTGGGTGGTGCCGGTTGCAGATAAGATGCGATTTGACGAGATATTCCTGAAGACCGACCTAGACCTGGATGGCTATGTGAGTGGCCAGGAGGTGAAGGAGATCTTCATGCACTCTGGCCTCACCCAGAACCTTCTAGCACACATATGGTAAGGACGGGTAGGTGGCTTCTGCTCATCCGGGCCTCCTGTGTGGAGGTCCTGGCTGTGGGCGACTCCGAGGGGCCCCGAGGGAGTGAGGCTTATGCCGAAGGAAGGGCGGGTGGCTGGCAGGGCGCAGTGGTGGAGGCATCTGTCCAGCCCCGCAGCAGGCCTCCACACCTGCCAGGGTGGATGGGGGCTGAGTGAGAAAGGAGCACCAAGGTCCTTTCCCCCGTGCCCTGGGCATGGCAGCTCACTCTCTGCCCGTGTGGTCCATCTGGATGGCTCTGGGGCGATGTGCTTGAGTGGCTGGGGCGAGTTCTTGCTGGTGGTTGTGCTGGTTCTAGTGGGAGGCCCCGCCTTGCCCACAGCCAGCTGGGGTGCAGATGTTTGGCCCTGCCCCTGGGAGGGGAGGGCAGCTCGGGGAGAGCCACCCTGGGCAGTGGGGGCTGAGGCTGCCTCCCCAGGGAGGCCTGGGAAGGTCAGTGACCCAGCTCCCATCAGGAGAGTGAGCAGTCAGCAAGACTCCAGTCTGCACCTCAGGGCCAGCCAGGGAGCCGGTCTCAGCCCTCCTTTCTGCAGGGCGGACCAGGACAATGTCAGAGCGCCGGCGTGGCTCCCTTTGCAGCTGACAGTGGTGAAAGTCACTTTCTAACTTTGTCCTCAGGCCTTACAGGGCCTCACTTGGGAGTCACAGGAGAGAATTTCCATATAATTCTGGAGAGGTGAACCTCTCCAAAGAAGAGCAGTGAAATTTAGCACGTTACTGAGTAGCTTGGGGAAGTAACTGTCCTTGGTTGTAATTCGTAGATGCCCATGTTGTGAGGGGAGGCCCCAACCTGAGAAAGCAGGCTGTCCCTTCCGAAGGAGTGTGTGACAGACACCCAGAGTCAGTCACCAAATAGCCGGGGGAGGCCAGCTGCTTCCGACAGGTCAGGACCAGTCATCCTCCGCCCCTTCAGCCCCAGTGCCCGCTTTTAGAGGCCGAGGAAACGCAGTGTCCCCTTTATCACCTTGAAGTGGGGTGTGTGTGTGTGTGTGAGTGATTCAAAGGTTGCAAGCCACAGCCTGATCACAGCGTGGGGACGGTCCCTCAACCTGCGAGTGGCGCAGGGATGGGGAGGGGACAGGGAAGTCGCCAGCATGCTTGGGTTAAAAGAAGGAATGCAGAAAGCGTTGTGTGTGAGGGAAAAGGTAGGATGAACACGCTCTAGAAGAGTACCATGATGGCCTGGGTTTGTCTGCAGGTGGCGGGGGGCAGGGGGCATCCCTGAGGCCGGGTAACACGCCTGCCTGGCAGGGAGGCCTTGTGCGCCCAGCCCCGGAGCCAGACCACGCCCGTGTGCTGCCGCGGGTAGAGGCTGGCCGAGCACCCTGCCTGTGGGCCTTGGAGCCCACGCTCCGTCAGAGACAGGGAGCGGCAGAGGGCCCAAGGGAAGAGGCCTCGCGCCTGGGAGCCACTGTGGGCTGGGTGTACGGCAGGACCAGCCCTGGCAGGCAGAATCCGCACACCTCATCACTCAAACGGCAACAAGAATAAAGATATTTTATATCAGCCTTTATCAGCAACATTCAGTGGGGTCTCTGTGCCCCCCATAGCCCTGGTCACTGGCTGTTTGGGCCCGTCTCAGTTCACCGTTCCCGGCTCCCTGCTACGAGTTAGAGAGTGGTGACCTTGCAGTCATTGTGCACAGTGGGAAGTGAGGCCGCCTGTGGAGCGGCCCGGGTGAGACATCGCTGATGGGGAGGCCTCATCTGGCTGTGTGAGGCTTTCCTCCCCGTACCAGGCAGCGCCATGGTTACTGGGCTGGCTGCAGAGCTGCTCCCCCAGGCTCTGCGGGAGCTCCATGTGCCACTGCCTTAGGTGCTGCCTTGTCCATCAGCCAGGATGACAGGAGGCCACATGAGCAGGCACCCCTTGGCAGTGAGGCACTGTTCTGTGTAGCATGGTCAGGAGTGGCTTTCTGGGCCCCATTGCCTCAGGGCGACAACCCAGAATGCTGCCGCTGTCATCCCCATTGAAAGCCAGCAGCTCAGGCTGCTCAGATAACCCAGGCTGGCTAAAGACCTGAGGGGGCAGGCTCGGGCCCTGCTTCACAGCCCCCAGAACGGCTCTTCTGTCCTGGACTGTCGCAGTGCCCCACATACCATCAAGAGCTGGTGGCATTTCTGGGAATTGCTGTTGAGGTCTTGCCAAAGGCCTGCCACCTCGGCCTGTGGGGTGGGGTTTGGTGGTTCTCCAACCAGGTGAGGCCCCCACTCCCTGTCCTGACGATGCCCTCTTTTTTTTTTTTTTTTTGAAGATTTTTTATTTATTAGAGTCAGGGAGTGAGAGAACACGAGTGGGGTGAGGCATAGAGGTAAGCAGACTCCCACTGAGCAGGGAGCTCGATATGGGGCTCAATCCTGGGACTCCGGGATCATGACCTAAGCCGAAGTCAGATGCTTAACCCACTGAGCCACCCAGGTGCCTCCTTAACCAGACTTTGGGCATGGTGCTCGGGTGGGGGGTGTCGGGACTGCTGTCCGGGAGCGGGATGTTCAGTAGGAAAGGAGTTGCCGTTGTGCCCCATTGTTTGTATTGTCACTGTTCATTTCCTCAAAGGATGGGTTCTGTGATCTGTGCTTAGCATGCTGGGCCAAATTCTTGCTTTTGATGTGTAATTAGCATCTGCGCGTTTCTCCCAGGGCCCTGGCTGATACGAGGCAAACGGGGAAGTTAAGTAAAGACCAGTTTGCATTAGCTATGTACTTCATTCAGCAGAAGGTCAGTAAAGGCATCGACCCCCCTCAAGTCCTGTCGCCGGACATGGTCCCGCCCTCAGAGAGAGGCACTCCCATCCCGGTGAGTACTGCCGGCCCAACCGCGGTCCTGTTCCTGTGGTTTCCCGCAGCCTGCCACCAGGTGGCGGCAGTGGCCCATGTGAGCAGGCCAGTGCCCTGCTGTCCGTGCTCACCTTGATCAGGCCCCAGCTTTCACCAGCCGCCGGGGGTGGGTCTAGCGGGTGTGTCTGGGCCACTGGGATAGTTTTCCAGGCTGGGTACTGGCCCTTTTGCTGCTGTGAATTGGAGATACCATGATTGTATCCCTCACTCTAGGACCTAGTAGTATGTGCTGGGCAGTGAGGTCAGCTTGTCAAATTTTTTTTTAAAGATTTTATCTTTAAGTAATCTGTACACCCAGTGTGAGACTTGAACTCACAACCCCAAGATCTAAGCCACATACTCTACCAGTTGAGCCAGCCAGGCGCCCCTCGGTTTGTCAGCCTTTTTTTTTTTTTTTTTTTTTTTTTTTTTAAAAGGGAGGGAAGGGGCAGAGGGAGAGGAAGAAAATCTTGAGCAGGCTCCATGCCCAGTGTGGAGCCCGATGTTGAGCTCAATCTCGCAACCCCAAGATCATGACCTGAGCCCAAATCAAGTCAGATGCTTAACCGACTGAGCCACCCAGGCGCCCCTCAGCTTGACAATTTTTAATTATGTATCTGAATTTGGTTCCAGGACGGTTCAAGTTCTCTTGGATCAGGAGAATTTACTGGTGTGAAGGAACTTGATGATATCAGTCAAGAGATCGCCCAGTTACAAAGGTGTGTTAAAGCTCCTTCCCCTGAGAATCAGAATCTCACACCGGCCCTATCCCCGCTTGTACCACAAGTACCAGAAACTTGTGAGACATGCGGTAAGTTGGCCATCACAGGTCCGTATAGCAGAGATGAAGGGCTGCACGCTCCCCTGAGTTCCTGAATTGACTTAATGAGCTTGAGTGATGATGTCTGCAGTAGTCACTGTGGGCTTGGGGTTCTCGGGCAGGTTGTTGCTCAGCAGCCCCAGGCCATGCCCCCTGACCTCAGGAAGGCCTTGCTCTCCTCAGCACACAAAACAGCTGAGTCTCAGGTGGCAAGTTAATGGCTTAGGACAGACAGCTAAACTGAGAGAGTCATGGAGCACCAGCTGAGCTGGGTTCTGTGGGTAAGGACGGAATTGGGCATTGAGAAGTTGGTGCCAAGAGAATGCACCATGGCCATAGTCGTGCTGTCACTCATCTGTGCTTTCCTGAAATCTTTTCAATGGCCAGAGAGAAGTACTCCCTGGAACAAGACATTAGAGAAAAGGAAGAGGCAATCAGACAGAAAAGCAACGAAGTACAGGTAAGCACAGTGCTCACCCTGGGCAAATGAGCTGTGTCCCACACAGCGACTGCCAGGCCCATCAGTGGGGGCGGGGCAAGGGAAAGCTAGTTACTGGGGGGCTTCCACCTGAGACTTTTAAGCTTCCTTTAACCACAGACAGGGCTTGCTTGCTTTCTCTCTTGCAGTTGAGCTATTGATTCACATCACCGAAAATTTGCTCCTTTAGAACATACAATTCAGTGGTTTTTAGCATATTCAGTATGTTGCTTAACTGTCCCCTCCATCTAGTTTCCATCACCCCAAAAAGAAACCCCATGACCATGAGCCCTCACCTCACCATTGTCCCCCCCCCCCATTGCCTCTCCCCAGTCCTGGGCAACTACTAATCTGCTGTCTCTCTAGATATGCCTGTTCTGGATGTTAGACGTGAGGCCTTTTGTGTCTGGCTTTTTCCACTCAAGTCTCAGTGTTAGAGGTTCAGACAGTGGTTGCTAACCTATTCTCAGGACAGTCCTTCCTGGAGTGTCTCCTAGCAGGTGGTGGTGATGCAGAGACCAGGAGTCTGACTGCTGGGCTCAAATCTAGTTCTCCTTAGCTGTGTGACCTCGGGCAAGTTACTTAACGTCTCTGGGTCTCATATGACACTGATAATGACTGTTCTGCTTTCCCGAGCTGTGGGGCTGGAAAATGGGGTCTGGCCTTTGCTCATCACGCACTCAGGGCCCTCCCTGCTCTTCTCATCATTAGAGCAGAGGGGAGTCTGCACCAGGAGCAAGGGGTCCCACAGTGTCTCGGGTCTGAGTGGATAGAGAAGGCGCTGCCCCTGTGAGGACACAAGAGGTGGCTGTGGCACCCTGAGAGCGAGCGCTAGGAGTGCTGCTGGGACTGGTGGTCTCTGCGAGGACTTTGAGTGTCCTGAGCTCAGGGCTGGGTGGGGGAGAAGAGCACGGCCGAGTGGTCAGGGTCCGGCTCCACCTCAGTGACCTCACCTGAGTGACCTGGACCGGTGGCTCAGCCTCCTAGCTTCCATCTCTCCTGCCGGCACCAAGGGTCGGTGTATGGGTTGTTCACAGAGCCTAGAGCAGTGGCTGGCTGCCGTGTGCGCTGTGAGAGTGGCCGGTTCTTTCTGGGCCGCCTCTCAGGGCGTGGACCCGAGCCAGGGGAAGTAAGTTGCGTTGACTCAGTTGGCTCTCGAGGCGCTGGGCGGCCCTCCCTTGCTCCACCCACACAGGGACTGGGACAGACACAGGTACTAGGAGAATGGCACATTCTGCCCATCGGTGGGACATGTCACATCTGTCATGGCTGTGGTCTGCAGGTGAGGTGGGGTGGATGTGCCCGCCCTGCTTCGGGACACTCACCGGTTCACGCTGTGCAGTGTCCAGACCCTTCTTTCCTTCCCTGGCTTCTCACTCTGTGCCTGTCAGCAGTGAGGACTGGGCTGTAGATGGTCTCCTGGAATGTTTCAGATTGGAAAGCAAGGACCTGGCTACCTCTGACAGGAAGGGCTTTTTGCTCAAATGAGCTGCTTCAGTTATAAGACCACCTTGCAGGCGAAGTGACTGTATTTCACTGAAAGCCCCCACAGTACGTTCCTCCTGTCATTTTATTCTCTCTGAGGCCTCTGATTTCTACCCGTGTCCTGGAATTGATCCCTCAGACGCAGAGCCCACTCCCGCCCTTCCGCCACCTGCATCCCCTCAGCCTCCATCCTGTTAATCCTGTGGTGTGGCAGAGCTGGCCTCCTCTTCCCTCGTGCCTGGGCTGGGCCCAGCCAGCGACATGGGTGTGTGGCTGATTCTCCCTTCCTATTGTGTCAGGGTTGCCTTGAACATGCTGTGGTTTACATTCTGGTCCCTGGATATCTGGGTGCTCTGATGGCCTTTAACTGCCCAGGAAGCCAGTCACCAGGTCTCTGGTGCCTGTTCTGGGTGATTCTGAGGAAGATGTCAGGTCTTTGCAGTGGCTCGTTCTGACATCTGAAGGTACCGTCCCTCTGGTCTGCGGCAGGCGCAGCCAGGCCACCCGAGCCCTGGCTGATGGGCTCTGACGGTACATACCTGCAGCCTTGGAGGTGCTGGCATCCTTGTGTGCCCTGACAACTCCCCAGAGCTGGAGGGAGCCCCATGCCAGCCAGACTGGCCCCATTCCGGGGGGGCCTCATCTGCGAGCCGGCCAGGCCGGGGCTCTGCTGGAGTGCTTGATGGCAGCTTTTTGGTCCTAGACAGAACGCTGTATTTTTTGAAAGTTCCTCTGTGAAAACCAGGTTTGGCTTTGGTTCCTGCCACCTTTCCCTACATGGGTCTCGCCAGGAGATCACTTGGCACAGTCTGTGGGTCAGGGCTCTGCGTGCGGTACGAGTCCTTTGTCCTCAGGTCTGTTTATGTTTGGTTTTAGGCAGTGGAAGCTTCAGCTTCAGCCCTCCTGGTCCTGTTCCCAGGGTGCCCCTTCCCCGTCCTCCCCGGGGTCTCTCGCCTCTCTTTCCATTGCTGTCGATCTGGTGAGCACCTATAGCGTCTTTGCCTAATTTTTTGTTTTGTTTTGTGACAACAGCTTTTACTGAGCTAGAACTCACAGACCACACCATCCATCCACTTAAAGTGCATAATTAATGGTGTTTAGTGTCAGCTCAGGGTCGTGTACCCATCACCACTGCCAGTTTGTCAACATTTCCCTCCGAAAGGAAGCCCCGTCCCCTCTAGCAATCTCCATTTCCCTCCCCAGTCCCTGGCGACCACTTATCTCCTTCCTGTCTCTGGATTTACCTGATCTGCACCTTGCGTGGTGATGGAGTCCTACATGGTGTAGCCTCTGTGTGTGGCTTCCTTCACTCCTCCAGTGTTTTCAAGGTTCATCCACGTTGTAGCATGCATGTCAGTGCGTCATTCGTTTTCGGGGCTGAATGAGGCTCTACGGTGTGGCCGGACCACATTCTGTTTGTCTTCAGCTGTTGATGGATATTTGGGTTCTTTGACTTTGAGGCTATTGCAAATGACATCACTATGAACGTTCATGTATATGTTCATGGACATACGATCTCACTTCCGTTGGATCTGTTACCCAGGAGTGGAATGGCTGGATCATATGGTAACTCTGTGTAACCTTTTGAGGAACCTTCATACTGTTTGCCAGTGTGGCTGCACCATTTTACATTCCAGCCTGTAATGTATAAGGGTTCCTGTGTCTCCATATCCTCGCCAACACTTCTTTCCCATTTTTTATTTTGGCCTTCCTAGTGGGTATGGAGTGGTATCTCATTACCCTTAATGCTTTCCCTAATGAGGTTGAGCGTCTTTTCATGTGCCCATTGGCCATTTGTGTAGCTTCTTTGTAGAAATGTCGATTTGGACCCTTTGACCATTTTTTTTTTTTTTAAAGATTTTATTTATCTATTCGACAGAGAGAGAGATCACAAGCAGGCAGAGAGAGAGGGGGAAGCAGGCTCCCTGATGAGCAGAGACCCTGATGCAGGGCTCGATCCCAGGACCCTGAGATCACAACCTGAGCCGAAGGCAGTGGCTTAATCCACTGAGCCACCCAGGTGCCCTCCCTTTGACTATTTTTAACTTGGCTTGTCTTTCAATAGGTGAGTTCTAAGAGTTCTTGATAGTTTCTAGGTACAAGTTCTTCATCAGATAGGTGATTTGCAAATAGTGTGAGTTGTCTTTACTTTCTTGATGGTGTCCTTTGAAGCACGACAGTTTCAAATTTTAGTGAAGTCCAGTTTATTCCTTTTTTTTCCCTGCTCCTGCCTCTGATGTCCTATCTTGGAACTCACTGCCAAATTCAGGGTCATAAAGATGAATACTCTGTGTTTTCTTCTAAAATTTTACCATTTTAGCTCTTACATTTAGATCTTTGATCTGTTTTCAGTTCATTTTTGCTTATGCTGTGAGGCAGGGGTCTGACTTCATTCTTCCGCATGTGGAGATCCGGTTGTCGCAGCACCGTTTCTTGAAACTGTTCTTTCTCCACTGAATGGTCTTGGCACCCCGTTGGATATCACTTGGCCACCAATGTGTGTGGCCTTGTTTCTGGACTCTCAGTTCTATCCCGCTGATCTACCTACATTTCTCCTTATGTCAGTACCGCACTGTCTTGATGGCTGTAGCTTCTTAGAAGCATACCTCATTTTCTTGGGCTTCACTTGATTGTACTTTGCGGATATGGTGTGGTTTTTGGTTTTTGTTTTACAAATCGAAGGTTTATGGCAACCCTGTGTCAAGCAAATTTACCAGCGCCATTTTCCTGGTAGCATTTGCTCACTTTGTGTCTCTGTGTCCCATTTTGCTATTTTTTGCCATCTTCCAAACTTCCTCATTATTGTTACGTATGTTATGGTGATCTGTGGTCAGAGATTATGACTCACTGAAAGCTCAGATGATGGTTAGCAATTTTTAGCAGTAATGTAGGACTTTATTTTAGGTGTATACGTTTATTTTTAGAGATAATGCTGGTGTATACTTAATAGGTTGTAGTACAGTATAAACATATTTTTATATGCACCGGGAAACTAAAAACTTCTTTTGACTTGCTTTATCGTGATACTTGCTTGTTGCTGTGATTTGGAACCAAACCCACGACATATCTGAGATACGTCTATTATAAATTTTGAAATTGAAAAGCACGAGTCCTACTTTTCTCTTCTTTTTCAAGATTGTTTTGGCCATCCCGAGCCCTGTGCTCCCTCAATGAATTTTGGCATCACCTTGCCAGTTCCCGCACCGAAGGCAGCTGGGGATGCCAGTGATCAAGTTTGCATCGTGTTTGTAGGTTGTCTGGGCTATTTCTGTGTTCTCTTTGCTTAGATACCTCCCCCATTCTGAGCCAGCTCCCGTCCTAACCATAAGTTGGTGGGTCTTTGTCCCTGTGGGGCTCTTTGATTCCTCCTCCTTCTTTATAAAATGAGGCTCAGATTCCTTGATACCCTAGGCTGTTGGCCACCCGGTGTCCCAGGCTACCACACCGGGCCTGACCCTCCTCCCTGCTTCATCTCCTTCTCCTCCGTCAACTGTTCTTCCCTCAGATGTGGTAGACCCATGTCCTAGACTCCCTACCACCAGTCTCTTCTCTTCCCCAAACTTGTCAGACTGAGGATCTGCTTCCTGAATTAAAGGTCAAGGGCAGGGAGACTGGGGAGCTCTCTAGAGAGGAGATGCTGTGTCTGCTTTGGGTTTTTTCCTAAAATGGCATCAGCAATCCATAGCCCAGGCCTGCCCTGGGGATCGGCCTCACCATCTCCGTGTTCCTGTACCCTCAGGGTCCCCTCAGATCTTTCCCTTACTTTGGTTCCCATTGCCACCATCTCACCTAGTTCCAGGTCCCCTCCCTGCTCCCTTGGTCAGCACCCCAAGGCTTCCATATCCTCTGTCCCACCCATCTGTGATTTCAGCTTTAGTTAAAAGACATCTGATAAGACCTTTGCCTGGTTGAAAATCAAAAGGCGTGAAGCTTCTTGCCCTCCCCTTCACCCCCTCAGAGGTGTAGTTCATTAGCTCCCATGAGGCCTTCCAGGAAGGTCATGTGCATGTTTCAGGAGAGAGATTTGTGCATATTCTCTCCTTCCTGTTTGCACGAACACCAGAATGTGAAGCACACGTGCGCTCTGCCACGTGCTTTGTTTGCTTCACGTTGTAACTCAGAGCACGAGCTTAGGGAAAGAGTGCGCTGCAGTTGTCAGCCAGGCCCGCCTGGTGGAAATTTACATGGTTTACAAGTTTTGCTGTCACACACTGTGTGTCGTCACATCTGTCATACACCTCTAAGGTGCTTTTCCTAGAGGCGTCATAGTTGGGTCTCAGGTACCTGCTGGGTGCACTTGAGCAACACTGACAGTTTGGAGGAGCGTTAGCGGTGGAGAATCGTTGTGTCCCAAGCCCATACTTGAATGTCCTGCCCCAGAAGTGAGTGCAGTCTCTTTGGCGTGGCCCTCCTTCCTTTGGCTCCAGTTGGAGCCCAGTACCGCCTTCCCCACCTTGAACCCCCTGCAGCCCCCCGCGCTGCCCCTGCTCCCCGCACCACTGGGCTCCTTTCCTCCTGGCTCTTCCCCTGGCTGCTGCCTGCTTGTCCTTTGGGTCCACCCTAAGTGGTGCTCGCGTGGGGCTCCCCTCCGCCCTTGCAGCGTCAGTCTGGTCTCCCCGCGCCCCTGAGTCCACCCAGCAGCACCCATGCATTCTGTTGGTTCGATTCCTCCCAGTTTATTTGTGTTTGGGTGATGCCTCTCCTCTCTCTACCCCTGACTATGTCACTGGGCAGCTCTTCTTGCTGGGCCGCAGCCACTATCCTGGCCCCTGCCCTCTCCTACCTAGGCCATCAGTATGTATTTGCTGAGGAAGTCAGCAAGAGACCTCAAGCCACAGGTGCCAAGCTGAGGTGCGCACATTCCAGCAGGTGCACACAGGGTGCCTGCCGAGCGCAGACTCGGGGCACAGGCGCTGCTGTAGGACGTCCTGGGGACTCCAGCACAGGCTGAGCCCTCGTTACCTGGATGTGCCCCCTTCTCCTTCATCTCAAGTAAAGTGATGTGACCTTTCCCTAGGAGTTACAAAATGATTTAGACCGGGAAACAAGCAGTTTGCAAGAGCTAGAAGCTCAGAAACAGGACGCCCAAGACCGCCTTGACGAAATGGATCAGCAGAAGGCCAAGCTCCGAGACATGCTGAGCGATGTGAGGCAGAAGTGCCAGGACGAGACTCAGATGGTGAGTCTCACCCCCAGCACTGCAGGGGGGCTCTTCCTGTGGCCCTCTTGGAGCTCACCGTGCCCTTGAAACACAGGGCTGAGACATCTTCCTGCCCTAATAGAGCTGCCGGACATACCGCTTGGAAAAGCGACCCAAGCATTTGTGGCCTGACCTCAGTCTCGCCCACCAAGCCACAGGGTGAACGACCTTGGTCCCCACTAACCTGTGTGTGTGGACCCCTTACCCTGACCCGTGCCTCCCTGCACAGGGGGCTGGCACGCCCCTCTCCCTGCTGTCATCTCCGTTGCTTGTTACAGACCCGGGGGCTGCAATCTCCACGGATTGTAAAGCCCCGTGGCCCCCTCTGAGGCCTTGTACAGGGATGTTTAGCCCCTGGGGGACGGATGGCCTGTGCTTACCCCAGGTCTCATTCTTCCTTACCCCAAATTGACTTTTTGCCCGTTACATGGCAGTGAGCATGTCTGCCTTGTTGTTTCTCTCCGTCTTTCGAGTGGAGAGAGGGCCCTGGAAGGAGGCCAGTTGTCCGGCCATTGGGCTGGTGTCTGCCTCACTGGCTAGCTCCTTCCAACAGTGTGAATTAAGAATTCTCCCTCGGGGCACCTGGGTGGCTCAGTCGATTGAGTGTCCAACTCTTTGTTTCGGCTCAGATTGTGACCTTGGGGCCGTGACATCGAGCCTCACATCGGGCTCTGTGCTCAGTGTGAAGTCTGCTTGTCCCTCTCCCTCGGCTCCTCCCCCACACTCGTGCACATGCTCTCACTCTCAAATAAATAAATAAAATCTTTAAAAAAAAAAAAAGAATTCTCCCTCAATCATATTTCATCTCATTTCAGATTTCCTCATTGAAGACCCAAATCCAGTCTCAAGAATCTGACCTCAAGTCCCAGGAAGATGACTTGAACCGGGCCAAGTCTGAGCTGAACCGATTGCAGCAAGAAGAAACCCAGCTGGAGCAGAGCATTCAGGCCGGGAAAGTTCAGCTGGAAACCATCATCAAGTCCCTGAAATCGACACAAGACGAAATCAACCAGGTACCTTGCTGAAGGCAGGTCCCCACCTCTGCTGGCCGTGGCCAGGTCTCCTGGGGTTTTCCGGCATGTGGAGTACCTCCGGTGACCGGTCCTGTCGCTGTGTGTGACCAGCCTGTGTTGGTCTGCATCTGAGCCGAGGCCACTTGTTTCCTTTACTGTGACCCACCTCATTTATGTTAGGTTCTCTTCTGAGAGGCTGTCATCCTGGCCCGGAGGGTAAGCACCCAGAATCCTCCAGCATGTGCCACCATCGTGCTGTCTTTGGCCCAGTGGCAGTTTGCTTTGCCTCGCCATCCTTCCACTTCCCCACCTGAGCGAGTGCCATTTTGGGGGAATGGGCAGGACCTGCAAAGGACCTGTAAAGCTCCTTTGAAGAGAGTCTTGGGTATAGAAATGCCTTCACCAATGTGGTTCTCGGACAAGCAAGAGGGACAGAGCGTGAGACTGGTTTGAGCACCTCTCCATCCCCATGTAGTTTGCGGACTGGCACATGGAGGAGGCCCCATGCTGTGATGAGTCTCACCCCATGTGGGATCCTTTTCCAGTTCTTCAAGCTGTCTGAGCACCCCATCCTTCTCCCGTGCCGGTGTGAAGTCCCTGAGGCCTGCAGCGGTGGCTCGCCAGCAGAGGGAGGGCTCCTCTCCCGCTCCCCTGTGTGCTGTGGCCCCTGGGTGTCCCACCTGTGGGATGGGGGTGATGCTCGCGCCCAGAAGTGTTGGAATGGCTGGTCGTGCTTCCTTTCTTGACTGGCTCCATCTCTCGCTCCTTTTGCCAGGTTACGGACAAAAGTTTATCACACTCACGTGCTGGGGGTTTAATACTCTCTGTTGTATTTCATTCTTAAAGTTTTTTTTTTTTTTTTTTTAATTTATTTGACAGAGATCGCAAGTAGGCAGAAAGGCAGGCAGAGAGAGAGGGGGAAGCAGGCTCCCTGCCGAGCAGAGAGCCAGATACGGGGCTCGATCCCAGGATCACAAACTGAGCCAAAGGCAGAGGCTTTAACTCACTGAGCCACCAGGCGTCCCTCATTCTTAATGAATAGGTTTAGTATTGTTTTAAGACCTTTTTCCTCTGAGCAGTAAGAGTTTGTACAAGGTAGTTAGGAACCAAGACGTGAGTGTGTGTCAGTAATAATAACTGACGTTCACTGCTGCTTATTAACGCAGACAGGGTAATAAAAACCCCATAAAGGAAAATGTCATTGATCTCTGGGAACAGATTGTGAATCTGGATTTTACCAATTTCAGTTTGTTCAGAATTGACAAACATCTGTTTGAACACAGGCCTCTCTCAGGGGCTGGGGATACAGAGAGGCCTCATGGGGTGGCAGAAAGGACCTCATTCTGGTTTACAAGTGGTCTCGCTTCTTGTAAACTCTGTAGGCGAGTAATTCAGTTTCCCATTTGAATCACTCAGGTTTGGGCATTAGGAGAAAAAAATATGTCTTGCCTGACACTTTCCCCCTAAACCCCGTGTGATGTCAGCCATCTTTGTTGTGTAGGCAAGAAACAAGCTTTCCCAGCTGCACGAGAGCCACCAGGAAGCCCACAGGACCCTGGAGCAGTACGACGAGGCACTCGACGGGGCCCACGGCGCCAGCCTGACCAACTTAGCCGACCTGAGCGAGGGGGTCTCCCTGACAGAGAGGGGCGGTTTTGGAGCCATGGTAAAGGTCGAATAAATGTATTCCAGTCCTGGGATTAGGTCCCACATTGAGGTCAGAGAATGCCCGGCCTGCCGGATCCGGCGCTTGCCAGCCTCGAGTCTTCCCAAACGCGGGGTGTTTCTTGTGTCTGCTGCTGCTTTGTGTGTCCCACAGGCCCTGCAGCCCAGCATACGTGGCTGTGCTCCAGCCTTGCTTCCAAGACAAAGCAAAGGATAGGCCCGAATCCTTTGTAAACCAGTGTTTAAAGACCTTCGTCTCCGGTGGGCCGACAACCCACATTCGGAGGGCTTCCCAAACTTAACCAAAATTGAATCAAGCTCTCACACGTTGTGAAACCCTATATCCTACTAGTTGGGGGGATCATGGTGTGTGTGTGTGTGTGTGTGTGTGTGTGTGTGTGTGTGTGTGTTCGCACAAGGAGCACCTTGAAAATCGAATGTATTGCTGAAGATCAAGAAGTGACAACCCATTTGAGGCACTGCTGTTTGACCTATGAACTGGCCTCTCTCTTGCAATTTCGTTTATGCTGAAAACCTCGGCACCTTACGACCCTAGGGGTCCTGATCAAGGGCCAAGGGCTGTTGGCCTATTAGGTTTCTGAGGACTCAAATCCAGCCAGTGTTACTGTTTTCTTAGATTGTCCCGTCCCCTGTTCCTGCCAGAGCCTGCTGTTGTGGCCCTGAGGCCCAGCGTTTCCACTTTAGTCTGGCTGAGAAGAGCATCTTTGCGCTCCTGAGGGAGCCCGTGGGACGCGGTTGGTCTTCATGGTTTGGTTGTGCTGTGCTTCCAAAGCCTTTCACTGTTTGGCCTGCACTGCTGACCCCGCGTCCAGGACTCCTCCTCTGAGCCCTCCTTCTGCTCCTGACCCTGTTGGCTTCGTGGACTCCTTTTCCTTCCTGTAATAACACAGCTCCTCTCTCTCTCTCAACTAAGACTTAGCCCTTCGTGTTCATTTCCTGACGCGTTTCTTTCCTCAGTAGCTGAGTGCTCAGTCCCAGGAATTTATGGGGAAGCTTACGAGGCCTTCCCTGAGGCACTTAGAAGACGCTGTTGGTGCTCTCCTCTGTCTCCTGTCTCTGGCCCTTGCTCCTTCCCTCTGCTGTTGACAGGTTCCTTTTTGTCATGGAATTTAAATGGGGGAATTCCATATCTGCCCTGGGGCCGATCGTCCGCTTGATTGTCCGAAGTTAGACGACGAACGTCCAGTCTTGTTACATGTGTGAGGCAGAGCTGCCTGCTTGGCTGTCCGCCTGTCTCCATCTCCGCGTGTGCATTTCAGCTTCGTGACCCTGCTTTCCTTTTCCCCATCTGGCCTTGGTCCCTTGCACAGCTTGGGCTTGTCCCGTTTCATCTTAGTTCACGGCACAGCTCACTCTCAAGCCTTTTTGTAGGTTCAAATAAGATCGGTTTCCTTGGATAGAAAGTCGGCAGCGAAGCAGCGGTTTGCAAGGGTCAGGGATTCCCCTCCTCTCCCCTCCCCTCCCTGATTTTTAATCTTTCCTCATTTTCATTCATCTTGTAAGCGGGGCAAAGTTTACATGATAGTCAACTCATCCTGGAATGTCGACGTCAGATATATTACATAGAAACTTGCAACCAGTGTCTGAAAGAAAATCTATATTTATCTTGTACAAATACAGTTTTTAAAGCATTTTTCGGTTTGTTTCCTTTTTTAAATAAACACTTCGAAGAGGGCTTTTTGTTTACTCTTGAATATTTCAGGACCGCTTCACAGAGCTCTTAGTTCTCTTGGAGGTGGGCACGAGTGAGGGGTTTGGTCCCCTGAAAGTAGTGTAACCAGAGAGGTGCATCTAGAACTTTCTAAGGCTGCACAGTTCTACTAAAGTTACTAACTTTAGAGTTAAGCTCATACCATGTTACTTTGTCCAAGAGACTGATTTAAAAAGCCAGATTTATTTCTTGTCTGTCATCTGTTGTTGAGAATACTGGCCTTGCCCTTGAAGACAGCACCCCACCAACCTGTGTAGTAGAGAGAAGGTAGTAAATCATCCCAGACTTCAGCCTCGCCGAGAACTCATCATTGGGTCATCTGTTGCATCCAGCCCCGCTGGCTTGCTGGAGCCATATTTTCTTGACTTTCCAGAGCTGATTATTAAATAGGAATTTTGTAACCTGATTGTACAACTCTTGGTAACTTGGATTCAGCTACGGTGGGAGTATTTACACCGTGGGAAATGGCAGAAGCTACCAATCATTTTTTTATTTTTTCTCAGCTGGTTCACCAGTACACCACTGCCCAGCTCCCATGCAAAGGGAGGGAAAGTCACAGAAACTCCTTTCAGGGTGTCATATCTATATTTTAACAAGTGGAGAATTAAGACTAGTTACTGAACTCCATGTTTGAAGTGTTTTACTTCTGCGGAGTGATCGGTCTTCCGCCCCAGAGCTTGTCTGCCGCACTTGTGTCTCCCAAGTGGCAGATGGCCCAGTTCTCGTTGGTAAGTGGTCAGTGGGTGGTGGAGTTTACGGCATCTGTGCACCAGGGGAAATCTCATTTTCTGCTCTGAATCCGTGAAGTGGAATCAGAACCACTGGTGGTTACCTTCCGTACACGAGTCCTCCCAGGGTCTCTTAGGCTTCTCCTTTGAAGGAGAGGGAACGATTGCTGCCTTAGGCAAATCATTGCTCCTGAGACGAGATTGCAGACCTGGCTTTCAGTTCAGGGGGCTCGCAGCCAGAGCCCCTAGAATCACAGGCTACTCTCTGCCATCCTCTCCTTTTATTTGGCAGGCTTCCAAGTGATGATCGAAACCAATAAAAAAAAAAAAACCAACAAAACCCACCAACTTGTAAATCAATGCTATTAAAAACTAAGTAGAAGCTTCCAGTCTGAGACCAAGCTGTCGTTCTTAATGCACACCTATATCCAAGTCATCATTTCTCTCTGTTCTTCCGGAACCGATACATTCCACCCCTCATGGTACAGGGTGAGGGGTTGATTTTCCCTCTTGGCCTCCCAGCTCCTTTAGATTAGGACCTCTCCCTCACCTTTCTCTGTGTCTGAGAGCCCCATCAGACGCTTGCTGGTGCATGTGTGGTGCAGGTCTTAGCATCGAGCTGTCCTTAATGAACTGCATGCTTCCGCCAGCCGCGGTGCTTGCCGACACCTGTGCTTACTTGCCTAAGATCCCTGCTTGGTTTCCCCACCTTGGGAAGCCCTGTGGTTAGAGGCTGCAGATAGTCTTTCCCAGGTAAGAAAAACCCTTCCGTATTCAATCAGAGGGCAGGGGTGTAGGTCATCCCCAGCCCAGGGCTTCCCATTAGCCCAGTGCCTCTGAGAGCCATCCTGCCTCCCAAAGTCACCCAGCCCAGAGTGCTAGGAGCCTTGTTCAGGAGTCTTCTTTTGGCACCTTTGACGTCATTGCCCTGCAACCATTGTCTGTATTTTTACGGAAGCCCCAGCTCTTTAATTATTTGGCTTTGGAATAATGGCTGTTTGCCAGCCCCACGGGTGCCAACACATCTGCCAGATTCAGTGAGGATGTTGTGCTTGTTCATATCACAGCGAAACCTTCGTGTTTTCACTGAGGGTGTGTCTTTATTAACCAAAATACACTCACTGTTTCTAAACGAAGTGCATTGTTCCCGTGCATTTTCCCCTCCCCCCGCAACATTTGGGCCATTTTCCACTATAAAAATGTGGTCTTCAAAAGCAAATCTTTTTTTTTTTCTTTCTTCTGGTTTAAACATGCCTGTTTGTTTCTAGAAATAAGCACTTTTTAAAATACATGCAAAGTGCCGAGCGTGTACGCTCTAGTAGTTCCAACTGCAAGAGCGGCCCATTTCCTCCTGAGATGTAAGCAGCCAGCGTGTTTCTTGGTGCAGAAAGAGCATTTTAAAACATGCCCACATAGGTAGATGTTCTGTGAGAAGATGACTGAGGGAGGCCACACTTTTGAACGACGTCCATGCTGTCATTGTTGAATGGCTTGTTAGGTTTTCTTTCTGACGTTTCCAAAAATGCCACTGTTTTCTGACTTAGTGATTTTTTTCTTTAAGAAAAACTTATCATTGTAAGAAAATACACATAACATTGAATTGATCATCTGAACCATGCCTCGGTATAGTCACATCATGCAGCTAAACTCCAGAACATTCTCATAACCACTAAATGCCCCGTCCTTCTGCCCCGGCCCCTGGCACCCACCGCTCTACTTTCTGTCTCTGTAATCTGACTCCCCTGGGGACCTCCTATAAAGTGACCCTGTCACACAGCACTTGTCTTTTCATGATGGGCTTGTTTCACTCAGCATGATGTCTTCAAGGGTCAGTGATACTCCCTTGTGTGTTTACATACTACATCCGGTGTATCTGTTCGTCTGTCGATGGGCAAGTTTGTTCGAGTTGCTTCCACTCAAGTTTTAAATAAACTTCTATTTTGCAAGAGTGGTGGACTTAGAGGAAAACTTAAAAGTAGTACAGTAAGTTCCCACATGCCTCACACCCAGCTTCCCCTATCATTAACACCTTGTCCCCGCAAATGAACATTTGTCACCACAAATAAACTAGTGTCGACATGTCACTATGAACCAACGTCCACATTTCTTCAATGGCTTTTTAAATTGTTCTCTGTAGGATCCCACTGCTTGAAGGAGAAATATGCTGGTTGGGTAGGGAATTCTGTACTTTGCTTTAAATTTGAAATAATAAAATTCCTGTCCTGTCTCTTCACAAAATTATAGGATGATCCTTTCAAAAATAAAGCCTTGTTATTTAGCAACAATGCCCAAGAGTTGCATCCGGATCCTTTCCAGGCCGAAGACCCCTTCAAATCCGACCCATTTAAAGGAGCTGATCCCTTCAAAGGTATCTCACTCGGTGCACACTCAGTCATTGGAGGGCTGTTTGCTTTATGTCCGATGACTAGAACGGTTGCAAGATAGCACCTTCCGGAATGGAGGGGGAAGGGAGTTCTTGGAGCCTTCTGGGCCGCCTGAGCGTTTCGCCTCAGCTGGTTCACTACAGAGCTGAGGCGTTGGCATGTGGTGGAAGTGAGGTGTGCCCACGTTCAAGGGCAGCTGGCTCTGCCCTTAACCTCTGCATGCCTCCGTTCCCGGCCTCCGCTAGGGGTGATAAGTTCTCCCTCCCTCTGCTGGCGGGATCCATAAGACAATCAGATGGGAACTACCCAGTGAAGGACAGATCCCCACGTAAGTCTGAGGTCTTCATGTGACACGTTTACCCAGAGCCACGCACAAGGTGAGAATAACTAAGAAGATTTCTAGAAATAAGTTTTCCTCAGTTTCTCTGTTTTTTCGGGAGTAGGAAGCCCGAAAGCCTTCCAGGAAGACTGTACATTCCTGAGCAAAGTGCTGGGGCAGGGGGAGGGCAGTGGGGTGTACCTTTCCAGTGTCCTGTCAAATGCGGGGTCGAAGCTCCACGGGTGCAAAAATGGAATTGGCAGCTCCTCAGCTCGGGTGTGGGGAGCTCACCATCGCTCCGGGCTGCCTGTGGGTTGAGGCCTAGGGCCACCCCAGAGTCCTGTGTTGTCGCACCTGCGGGAGGTGAGAGGGAGATGAGACATAAGCGTCAAGCATGGCGAGGAGGAGGGGGTGAATTCTGGCTCACTCCACATTTTCCCCGCCTCCAGCCCATGTTGAGCACCAACAATACCCCATTTCTGTTTGAACGCCGCAACTCAGAAAAGCTGCCTCGGCCAGTGGCTGCTCCCACTTGGATATGCCCGAGCCCTTTCTGCCGTAGAGCTAAACATTCCTCTCTCCTCTAACCTAGGTGACCCATTCCAGAATGACCCCTTCGCAGAACAACAGACAGCTTCGGCAGGTAAAAGCCTTTGTTGAAAAGACTTTATTTTCTCATCTTCAGGCTATTTCCAGCCCTAATTCAAGTTGAGGGAAATGGAAAAGCAGCCGCCTGCCAGGCCTCCTATGACAGGACAGCAGGGGGCTTAGAGTCTGAGGAAGCCTGGCAGTGACATTACGCTCCCCTTCATGGTCAGGCACCCCTTCTTGCCAACCTCACAGCGGCAAGAGAGGGAGAACTAGAAAAGGAGCTCCCCAGAGCCAGGCGATTCTTTTAGATGTGTCCACAGCAGCTTGGTCCCTTGTGCCCACTTGTGTCGCATGTGGTAGCGTCAGGGGTCCCTGTGTAGCGCCTGCCCGCAATGGGGCTTCAGTTTACGGGTGCCAGAGGTGGTGACGGCGGCGGCAGCGTGTTCTGGGAAGGACGGCCATCTGCACTGCCTGGAAGCCTAGTGTCTCATTCCCTCCTGGTGACGGCAGGCTTTGCCCCGTGTCCATTCACTGTGCCTGTACCCCGCACTCCAGGGGAAGGAACACACCGCGAGTGCGGTGTTGCAATCCTGCTACCTGGTTATTTATCCACTTCTCTATTTTTTATTTTTTGACTGAGGTGAAATTCATACAAACACAAAACTCACCATTTTAAAGTGACAATTCAGTGGCATTTGGTACATTTATAACATACAACCACCACCTCTGTGTAGTTCTAGAACGTTTCCATCCCCTAAACAGAAGCCTCATCCCATGAGTAGTCATGCCCCTTTCCCCCTCCCCCAGCCCCTGGCAACCACCAACCTGCTTTTTGTCTCTGGATTTAGCCATGTTTTTCTTATTAAAATTAGCTTGGTTGGCAGGTGTAATTTACACACAACAAAATTCACCAATTTTAAGTGTATAATTAGATAAGTTTTGGTAAATGTGTGCACTTGTATAAGAGAACATCTCCATCATCCCAGAAGGTTCCCTTGTGCCTCCTACCCCCCACCCCCAGGCCCCGGGCAATCACTGACCTGCTTTCTGCATTATGGTTTTTTCCTTTTGTAAATTTTCATATAAAAGGCATCAGCTATGTGTTCTTTTATATTTGGGCTCTTTCACGAAGCATAATACTGTTTATTCATGGGGCGTATTTTCCTTCACTTTCCAAAACACCCTCTAGATCCATTCGGAGGGGATCCTTTCAAAGAAAGCGACCCATTCCGTGGCTCTGCACCTGATGACTTCTTTAAGAAACAGACAAAGAATGACCCATTTACCTCAGACCCATTCACGAAAAACCCTTCCTTACCCTCAAAGGTGAGTGACGCTGGGGAGGTATAGAGCTAACTGTGTGTGCCCGGTGCTTGTCCCTGTGAGGCTTGTCCCATGGCTCAGGCTGTCACATGCAGTGGGCCGGTGAGCCCATGTCAGGAATGCTTGGGTCCCAAAGAGCTCTCTTTTCTCTCTTCCTTTCTGTGCCCCTGTCACTTCAGCTCAGGCCCACTGGATGGCTTCTCTCTGCTATCACCTACCCCATTGCTGCCCCGTCTCCCAACAAAACTGAAACAAGACTAAGCATCATGTGCTCCCCATGTGTTCACACAGCCACCCTGCCATCTTCCTGGCAGCTCTGAAAGTGTGTGAGGCCTTCACGTGCCCCTCTCTACCCCTAGCATCTAGCAAACAGTGTGTCTTGCACGGTGTTAGGCCCAGTGCACTGCACAAAAAAGCGACTCTGTGATTGAACAGAGAATTCTCGTGTCTAGTGAGGGCAGGGTATAGCCTCCCTTCATGTTCCAGGCTGCATCTCTCCCTCCAGCCCGCACATTCCCTGGTTTTCCTCTTCTCCACAGACCGACTGGTCTTTTGCACTAGACCCAGAGCTCTTTGAAGGCAAGGATTAATTTGTAACATTTCTGTTGATAGTCCTGTCATGGGATCCCCCTTTCGTTTCTGCTCCTGATCTATGCATGTGATCTGTGCTCTTACTCTCTGTTGATCAATTTTGTTGAGCTTGTCCATGAACCAGCTTTTGGCTGTGTTAATTTCCTCTCTTGTTTGCTTCTATTTCACTGATTTCTGCTTTTTTATTATTTCCTTCCTTCTATTTATTTTGGGTTAGTACTTGCTTTTCCTTTTCTAACATCTTAAGATTCAACCTTAAGTCACTGACTTTAGACCATCATTTCTAACATAAATATTTTAAACTACACATTTCACTCTAAGCACTTCCTAGCTGCATTCCACACATTTTCATATGTTGTATCTTCATTGCCCTTTAGTTCGAGATATTTTCTAGTTTCCTTTGTGATTTCTCTGTTGAAGCATGAATCATTGAAAGTATTGTTTTGTTTCCAGGTGTTTGTTCTTTCCTTCCTTTCCATATCTTATAATACTGATTTTTATTAATTAAATTGGTCTTTAGAGAACACATTTTGTATGTTTGCTGTCCTTTTATAATAATAATAACCCATATTATGGTTTGTGTTGGTGTCCATACCATGTACAATTGAGAATAATGTTGCTCTGTTGTTGTTGGGTGTCAATATTCTGTAAATGCCACTTATGTCAGTGTGGTTGGTAGTACTTTTTGGATTGTTTGTGTCCTTACGGTTTTTGTTTGCTTGTTTTGTAGCTCTACCACTGTACCCATTGCTGAGAGGGAGATGTTAAAGTCTGTGTTTGTGGAATTGTCTATGTCCCTGCTCATTTTGTCAAGTTTTGCTTCATGTGTTTTGAAGCTCTGTCAGGTGCCTACACAATTATGCTTCTTGTATCACCTTGATGCAGTAACCTTTTTATCATTATAAAAGCTTTCTTTTTTCCTCTGGCAATACCTCCGTCTTGAGATCTGTTTTACCACCTATTGAAATAGCCTTCCTTCATCCTTCCTATGCTTACTCTTTGCTTCCTATATCTTTTTTTACCCATTTACTTTCAGTCTCCCTGGGTCTTTCTACACAAAGGGTTTTCTATAGCGAGCATATAGTTGGGACTGCTTTTCTTTCCAGCCTGGAAATCTCTGCCTTCAAAATAGAGTGTCTAGTCCCTTAACATTTAATGTAGTTATTGATATGGTTAGATTTAAGGCTACTGTTTTATTATTTCCTTGCTTTTTATCCCCTGTGTTTGTTCCTCTGTTCCCTCTCTGCCTTCTTTCAGATTATTTAAATGTTTTCTAAAATTCCACTTTCTAGTATCTTCTGGCTTCTTTTAACTATACCTATTCCTGTTATTTTTTGGAGGTTCCTTTAAGGATTACCATATACACCCTTAAAATTTTGTAGTGACGTGGAGTTAATATTACATCAGTTCATTTCCAATGTAGAGAATGTGCAACCCTGTAGGTCCATTGTTCACCTCCTCCCCAGCCAGCAGTGTCTCCTCTTATGTTCTAGTTGTCATAGGAATATATCTAAATATGTCATAAACTCCCTAACACCATCTTGCTTTAATTCATTGTATATGTTAAAAGAGACTTTTTTTTAAAGACTTATTTTTACCCATGTATTTGCCACATCTGATGCTCTTCATCCTTTTCCTTAAGCCTAAAGAACTTTCTTTGGCATTTCTTATAACACATTCTTTTTTTTTTTTTTTTTTAAGATTTTATTTATTTATTTGTCTGAGAGTGAGAGAGAGAGAGAGTGCACACAAGCAGCGGGAGTGGCAGGCAGAGGGAGAAGCAGGCTCCCTGTTGAGCAGGGAGCCTGATGAGGGGCTTGATCCCAGGACCCTGGGATGATGACCTGAGCTGAAGGCAGCTGCTTAATGACTGAGCCTCCCAGGTGTCCCTTTGTTGTCATTCTAGAAGGGTATCTGTGCCCGATCTGGTATTTTTTTTCCTTCCAGCGCTTTTAGGATGTTACTCCAGTGCCTTCTGGCCTTCCTGTCCTTGAGAAGTCGTGAGTCTCTCAGGCAGTTGTTCCCCATAGGTATTGTGCTGTTTTCCTCTGGCTGCTTTAGCTCTTTATCACTGCTTTTTGATAGTTTGTGAAGCGTGTGTATGTGGTTTTCTTCGTATTTAAGCTGTTTGGGGTTTGCCGAAGTCCTTAAATCTGTAAATCAGGTCTTTTACCAAACTTGATAAGTTTTTGGCCATTACTTCTTAGACATTTTCTCTCTCTGCCCTGTTCTCTCCTTTCTTTGTGGGATTACAGTTACTTTTATTTGGAGGTTTTGCTACTGGCTCCACAAATCCCTGAGACTCTGTTTTCTCTTCATTCTTTTTTCTTCTTTTTTCTGTAGATTGGGTATTTCTACTGATATGTCTTCAACCTCACTTACTTTTTTCTTGATCATCTGTCATTTAGCTGACCTAGTGACATTTTTTATTCTAGATATTGTACTTTTTTCAGTTTTTGAATTTCCATTTGTTTCTTTGTATAGTTTCTATTTTTCTTCTAAGATCTTCTATCTGTTCCTCCTCTTCTTCTTCTTCTTCTTTTTTTTTTTAAAGATTTTTTTTATTTATTTATGACAGAGATAGCAAGAGAGGGAAGACAAACACGGGGGAGCTGGAGAGGGAGAAGCAGGCTCCACACTGAGCAGAGAGCCCGACATGGGGCTGGGATCATAACCTGAGCTGAAGGCAGACCCCCGAAGCCTGAGCCACCCAGGCGCCCCACCTATCCATTCCTCTCAAGTGTACTTCCCTTTACTTCATTAAACACAGTTATTCTTGCTTCAAAGTCATCCTCATCAAAGAATTCTAAAACATCTGGGTCCTCTTGGGATTGGTTCTATTGATTATCTTTTCCCTTGAGAACTGGCCGCAGGTTTTTCTGTTCTTGTTATGTTGCATGATTTGAAGATGTATCCTGTGAACTGTGAGTGCTCCCTCGTGGTGATGGGCTGCTGCTGTGTGCCGAGAGCCCAGGTGGTTCAGTTTCAGCAGGCATTTGACTCCGTGAGGCTCCACTGCACACTCACTTTCTCTCACCTGTAGTGGCGTGCCTGTGACCTTAGCTGTAGGCTGCATTCAGTCTCCCCTCCCTCACACGGTACTGGGGTCAGCCCTTGCCTTGGGCAGAGCTTATCATGAAATTTTGGACTCCCAGTCTCTGCCTCTCCCTTTCCCATGACTGTGGTTGTCTCAGACCACCATCCTCTGGTCTTTAGCCAGAAAGACAGGGAGTCTTTTGTTGGGGTCTAGCCTTCCGAAACCCTCAGATTATAGCTGTTGAGACAGAAGGCTCAACCTTGTGCTGTTGGCCCCTGCCAACTTGGACTTCCAGGCTAGTCTTCCTGCTCTGGCTCACTTCTGAGCCTTCAGGTGGTTGCTTAAGTTTACTTAATTTTTTTTTTCTTCACATTTGTCCAGAGTTTATAGGTCTGCTCAGCAGAGGGGGTTGGTCTGTTGGGATTTTTACTCCACCAGCGTTTAGCCAGAGTCATCTTCTCGTCCTCGTGGCCAGCACCGGATTCCGTGTACACAGATGGTGGGAAAGTCTGTGGTTGGACGATGGCTGGGTGAACGAATGAATTGCTTTTTACTCTTCCCTCTCTCCTTTCACTCAGCTCGACCCCTTTGAATCCAGTGATCCTTTTTCGTCCTCCAGTGTCTCCTCAAAAGGATCAGGTGAGACTGATGACTTATTTTCCTTCTGCCTCTCCCCCAGCCAGACCCAGTTCCTGCTTTCATTTCCAAAGCTGTGTGTCCTCAGAGTTTATGTCATTAGTCAGTGGCACCCAGACCCTCGCCTGAGGCACTTCGGCCAAAGCCAGCTCCCCCAGCTGCTCGTCTTTCCAAAAAGGAAGGTTGGGGGCAGGAATTCAGTCAATGATAACACTAGTGTTCCTGGTTACCCTTTACTCATTTCTTTGTACAGATCTTTGATTTGTACCTTCACATCTTTTTCCTAAAAGAATCCAAGTTTGCAGGACGCCTGGGTGGCTCAGTTGGTTAAGCAGCTGCCTTCGGCTCGGGTCATGATCCCAGCGTGCTGGGATCAAGTCCCGCATCGGGCTCCTTGCTCGACGGAGAGCCTGCTTCCCCCTCTGCCTCTGCTGCCACTCAGCCTGCCTGTGCTCGCTCGCTCTCTCTCTCTCTCTGGCAAATAAATAAAATCTTTAAAAAAAAAAAAAAAAAAGAATCCAAGTTTGACCGAGGGTCCTGGCTTATGCATTAAATAAAGGGGGAGCATTTGGGTCCCCCCCGCCCGCTTTGGGGGAACAGGCCCCACTTGGACCTGCCTCCTTGCCTAGCAGCTCATGCTCATTGGTGATAGAGTTTGGGTTCATAGGTGGGCGTGGGGGTTATGCAGGCAAGCCGTCCCACTGAAGGAGAAATCTCCACAAAATGCGCCCACAGACGAGCTCTCCGCATGCATGGTGTGGGTGGTGGGTCACTGCGGACCTGCACCTCTCTCCCCAACCCAGGACAGTAGCCTGCTGCCCGTGAGCAGTGCTGGCTAGAAGTACAGATAGGGGGCACAGTCGCTGTGGCTCAGCCTGAGGCGGCCATCGTGGTGAGAGGCTTCTGGCTGGGCCGCACCAGCCACGAGCCAGAGTGGGTTGGGGGCCGGGAGGCCATGTTGAGGAACCGCATCCAGATGTACAACCCTGGCCAGCAAATGCTACCTCCTGGGATGTCCCGTGCTGGGGGCCGTGCACTACCGAGAGGCTGCGCTCCCCTGCCCCTGGAGGTGCGTTCCGCGGACGCCTTGTAACTCTGCCTCTGTTGGTGCTACTTGCAGGTCCCTTTGGAACCTTAGATCCCTTCGGAAGTGGGTCCTTCAATAGTGCTGAGGGCTTTGCCGACTTCAGCCAGATGTCCAAGGTAAAGCCCCTCATACAGAGCACGCGCGTCTCTGCCAGTGTCTTTGTGCCTCTTGTCGTGGTCGTGTCGTGAGCGGCCAGGCGTGATTGTTAGCACCACGTATGTATCTCCCAGCACCTGTCAGATGCATCCTCACGTGCGGTCATGAGCCGGCAGGCGGGGTCTAGAAAATGCGTGTGGTTGTGATCAGTTCCAGTGCCCTTCCTCTGAGCGAAACTGCCAGGGCTCTGCATCCCTCCACGAGGCCCACATGTCTCTCCCCCAGCCCTTCTGGTATCGCCAGATCTCAGGCAGTAGAGCTGTGGCTGCGCGGGCTCAGAGGAGGTGTCAGGCACGGGGGTCTCAGGAGGGGCACAGTGGGGGGCAGGCCCGGTATGCCGGCAGCTGAGGCTGGAACTATGGGCCCCAGGCTGGAGGCAGGAGGCGTCCAGAGAAAGTGGGCCGGTTATGTAAGTGGGAGCTGCCCGAGACAACTGGAGAAGGGTTTGGAAAGCAAGGGCTAGGTTCTGTGAACAGATATACGGGTGGAAAGGGAGCTGTTCAAGGCAGATGGTGTTCCCGCAGTTGTCGGGCTGGGCCGTATCGGTTTGGCCACTGTCGTAAATACAGCCTCAGATGGAGTTGAGGTCCTTTTGGGTGGAGGGGCTGGGGGAAGTGTGGCTAGAAAGCTAAATCTTCAACGTAGCAAGAAGTCAGTCAGTAGATCTTGTCCAAAATGGACAGGTCAAGAAATAACAGTAGAAGCCCAAGATTGTGGAGGTAAATCCCAGAAGAAACTGCTGAGAAGTCAAAGGCGTTGGCCATGGTGAGTGGGAAAGGCAATGGTCTAAGAGTCTGCTGCTCTTTGTTACAATCTTTAGTGTCCTCTGCTTTTGAGCATGAGTACGTATTTCTTTGATAAGTATTAAAGGAAAGCAACCTTAGGTGTGCCCCATGTTGGCCTCCGGGCCCCGTCTCCAGGACCTATTCGTGCTCTGCGGCTTCTTGGCCGCCCCTCAGGCAGGTGAGGGCCTCATGGAGCACAGCCTGCGGCCAGTGTCCTGCTTTCTTTACTCACCCCACCAGGCTTCAGTATCCACTGCTCCGGCCTGGGTACCATCAGCATGGGTGGGCGTGGCCACAGGCAGGAAACAGTCCCCATCCGTCAACTCACCTCTTGGGGAGGCTCAGAAGCCAGATGTTGGAGAGGGAGCTGGGGAGGGACTCTCCTGAGCATATGGGAACCGAGAGTCCGCAACAAGGAGTCACTTGCTTCTGGCCCCCTGCCAGCCCCTGCTGGACGTCCCCACCCTGCCATCTCCTTGGTGCATCCTGCCTGCTGGCTCCATGTTCACTCAGCCTGACGGGCACACACTTGTCTGGGCCCTCGGCACTTGTGGTGAACCAGGGTGATTGTGGCGCACAGCTTTGAGAAACATTTGAGATTCTGTTTAGGTTTTCAAAGAAGCACGTGAGCGTACATTGTCAAGATAGCAAAACCAGCTTCTGGCCAGAGAGAGAATGTTTGCCTTTCGGCTGTGGTAGGAGGGAGCCCAGAGGGGCTGGTGTAGCCACCTCTCTGATTCCAGTGCCTGGAGGGAACGAACCTGCCTCCCCTGTGCGGGAACACTGTGACTCTGATGGTCGGGACGCGGTCTGGGATTGGCCCGAAGGCACCAGGGCAGGAGGTCTGCTCACACATTTGCCTGTTGCTTAGTGGCTGTTACACGTGCTGTTGCTCCTCGAGTGGAGCTGTGTGTCCTCTGCTTCCGTCCCTGCTTAGCAGGCAGGAAATCAACTCCTGAAATCAGAGAACTTGTGCCACATGGTGGCAGCAATCCCCAAATGAAGGGGTCTGCATGGGCTACTCGAGCTGTGAGCGTGGGCCCTCTTTCCTCTCCCCTCTCCCTTCAGGAGGCTGGCCCCAGCCGCAGAGCCTGGGAGAGTTACCAGGGGCCAGGGCTGAGCCCAGGACAATGGTATGGGCAAGGCCCTGGTTTTGAGAGGTGCGCTGGTAGAGGCTGCCTGGGCTGGTGGAGGGCTGCGCGGGGCGGCCAGTCTTGGGGGGCTCCGGACAGCAGAATGGCCAGGCCTCTCTCTTCCAGGCAGTCTCTGAGTGTCCTGGGGCTGCCGCGACCCCCTGGAGCTAGGTGGTTCAGAGCCTGGCCCTGCTGTTTTCTGCCTATTCTAAGCTAACATCGCGTTTTTCCTCTGACTCGGCTTCCCTCTCCTTGTCCGTGTGTCCCTCGATCAGGCTGCACACACATGTGCACTTATGACTTAAGAGCTGGTGGCCCCTTCCTGTTCACGGCGCCTGGCGGGACAGAGCTGGACGGGGCCGTGGAAAATTTGTCTCGGGCGCTCCTTTGTTTGGTTTCCACGCTCCTGTCAGCGCCTGATGTGCCACTTGTCCTGTGGAACACCGAGCCCTAACCTTGTTGGTCTGTTTTTCCCTTTGGTTCCCTTTCTGTTTTTCAAGAAAAACATCATGTGTATAAATAAAATGCTGAAGGAAATGAAAGTAAAGTGGCAAGAAGGCTTTCTTTCTTTTTTTTTTTTTTTTTTTTTTTGGCTTCTTGGTTTTATGTTTTCTTTTGCTAATGTTTTTTACATCGCCAGCTTTTCCCCATCAGAGTGGGGTGGTAAGGTGATGCACACTGCGCCCTTTCTTAACTCCACCCTAAACTGAGGGGTCCTCCTCTGCCTGGCGGTGCTGCGTGTTTCTGACAGCCAGTGAGCTGGTTTGGGAGTTTCTTTGGGCTTGTGCTCGAAGTGGAGGTCCCCCCATACCTGCAGAGAGGTTTTTTTTTTTTTATAGACCCTGTTAATCTGTCACCTTGCTTTAGGAACAAATTCTGAACATCTGAGAATAAAAACAAGACTCAAATATAATGATTTCACCCCTGTCCCATGAAAAAAAGCTATCTCCACTCTATCTCTTTGGCTAGTTGGCAGGGCCTTTCCAGTCGTTTCTCCAGTGGTGTTTAAAGCTATGCATTCCCATTGAGGGCTGTTTCTTAAAAGTTTCTAAAAGAGTTGCTTGCTTTAAACCAGCTCTTCAAACTGTGAACCCCAAACATGTTCCTCTTAGAGCTGCTTTTTATAGTGGCTTTTCTCTTATTTTTTCTTTTTCTTTCTTTTTTTTCTTTTCTTTTTTTTTTTTTTTTTTTTTTTTTTTTTTTTGAGCACACTTGACGCTGTGCCAGCCCAGAGAGCCCCTGCCGGCTTTACTGAAACCTTTCTAAAAATAGCCACTTTCCCTGAAGCTGTAGCCTGAGGAGGAACGAGTCGGGTCCCAGAGGAGGCCTCTTGGGAAACCTGGAGTCATGAAAAGTGGGATTCGGAAATGACTTGGGCTTGGCGGTCAGAAGGGCTACAGCTCCCAGTCACGGGGAGAGTGGCCTTTATGGTTGGAGCCCTGTCACGCCGGAGCGAGCCCACCGGCTCAGTGGGTTTGAGCCCAAGAGAGGGGCGGAGAGTCAGCCTGGCGGCTCGTGGTCCAGGCTGCAGCACGTGGGCTAGGGGGACTCTACGTGGGGTGTGTCCAGAGGGCTCTGGACGCCACTCTGCACCCCTTCCCCAGAGCTGGTGTGTTCCTGAGCCCCAAGACAAAGACTGGCGTCCGTGGGGGGCCTTCGGGCCGGTCACGCCTCCTCTCTGCTAAGAAGTGGGTTTTGATTCCTGCCTGCTCGTCTCAGGCCGTGCGGGGGTGCGTGAACCTGTCTTCTGGTCCGTGAATGGCAGAGGCAGGAGCAGAGCCCACATGCCCTCCCAGCTCGTTTGCACACTCCCTCGTCTCCATTCTTCCCCAAACTGCAGACCCTCAACCACCATTTTAAGGCTAAGCTGTGGCTGGACACTTTGTCTCTGCTCCCACGCCATCTCCCCCTGGGGTGAAGTCTGTGGATAACAGCAAGCAGCGGGCATAAAAGCTCGGTAGCTGACGGTGGTGTCTGCGGACTTTTACAGGCATCTAAAGGAATTCCGGTCATGCCCACGTCCTTGGCATGATAATAATCGTGCCATCTTTGTGCTCTGCAGTCGGGGTGCCCTTTGGAGCAGCTTACACATGACTTGGTTGCATTTTTGCGGCAGCCCAAGGGCTACAGTGTGTCGTTAATGGTCATTTCACAGATGAGGACACGGAGGTATGGAGCAGTTAGTAGTGCCGGGGCTGGGACTCCAGACCCTAACCCTGGCCACTGTGCTCTGCAGCCTGGCCAGGCACATGTTCCAGAAACTGGAGCTGCAGGATTTTCAAAGACTCCCTGAGTTTTGTACCTTAAAGGACAAGTGTCCACAGAGCCCAGAGGAGGGAAGCAGTAGCCATGGAGGGAGGTGCCTCCTTGTCCTACCACGATCCTGCCAGCCCCATTGGCCTCTCTTGCTCAGAGCTTCCTGGGGGACAGCATGGTCTTGGCAGGGAAATGAGTCTTGCTCATCTGTCCTGCATCTTCCTCGCGGCTTTCTCTGGCCCGCTGAGCCCTCGGCCGGCTCTGCCTGGAAAAGGCCCCAGACCTACCTCGGTGGGTGGGCTGCCAGCAGCAGAGGGCAGGGCCCAGGAGCCTTGGCCCTGGAGGCAGACAACGTGGGTTCCTATCCTGACTCTACCACTGAGGTGCTGTATGACTGCAGGCTGCATCTCATCTCTGTGCCTCAGTTTCCTTGTGTGTAAAATGGCGGCGTTGTTGGAAAGGAGGTGAGAAGATCAGTGCAGAGCCAGCATTTCCTGCCTTGGAGGTCCTGGGTGCTGGTAGAGTTGAATCAGGGTGCCCAGTAGGATGCCCAGCTGCCTCTCCAGGCCCCCTCCCGCTCACCGTGGGCTGGCCCCCTTTCCCCCACCTGAGACTAGTATCTACGGCTATAACTGAGGCATAGGTTGCCACATGCATGTCCTGGTGACCAGATTCCAGGAGGTAGGGTGCACATCCTATGACCAGATCCCAGTGGAGTGGGGGGCCTGAGCTGGCCCATCTGTGGCTTGTCTCCCTGCCAGTGGGGGTTTGTCGTGCCCAGCGCTGTGCTGGCTTTCAGGGTAGGGGGTGCCCATGGAGACCAGTCACAGCCCGCCACAGGCCCAGACAGCAACTGTCCTGACCCGTCACCTGGGCCCATTCACAGCAGACCCAGCCAGGTTGGGGGGGGGCACGTGCTTGCCCATGGTGACATGTGTCCTGTGGAGTCCCATCAGGATGTCAGGTGGGCACAGTTAGCAGGAAGGGGTGTCAGAGCTCTAGGGGGTGGGAGTGAGATCTGGTCTGGTCAGTCTCTGAGGAAAAGAGGGGGCTTCGGGTGGATGGGGTAGACCGAGCTCCCCAGCTGGAGATGCTGTGTCTATGGGGCCCTGGAGACCAGGGTGCAAGGGGTTCCAGGGACTGGGGGAATTGTTGAGGGTATGGGGCAGCTACGGAGATGTGATGGGAGAATTGGGTAGTGGGGGCTGTGATGAAGGCCCTGTGTGCCTTGAAGAGTGCTCCGGAGGTTAGCTGTGGGTGCTGGGGCTCTCGAGTGCTCTGTACCCGCCTGTCCTCTCCGCCTGTACAGCTGCCCTCCATCTCTCTCTTGCTGGGATGACATGGGTCCGATTTGCACTTGGTGGGAGCAGGGGTGGAAGGTCCAGGCTGGAGGAGCCCGACGGAGGCAGCCAAGGGTGTGCCGACAGGACTGGGAGTGGGCTCCAACCGGATTCATGTATAGGCGGCAGCACCCGTGGACCACATGGGGGCGAGGAGGCGGTCTGCTGCCTTTCTGACCCAGTGCCCGGAGCTGCCCATCACTGACTGGGGGCAGCAGCCACATGGGCTGGTGCTCAGCCCAGAGGTGGCACACAGAGAGGGATCTGTGGCCAGTGCGAGGATGGGGGTGGGGCCCCTCTCTGAAGCGTGGACAGGAGGCCCAGGGAATCCTGGGGTCAGGAAAGACTTGCTATCCCTGTGTGGCAGTGGCGCGTGTGGCAGGGGACACCCCTCACATGACATAGGCCTGTTGAGGTGCAGGGCGGCTCTCGCCTGCTCTGTGTTTGCTGGCTTGTCCCTCCCAGGCCAGAGGACCCTGGCTATTGAGGGTAGAGGAAAGCAGGGTCTCGTGAGAGACCTGGGTCCCCCTGGGGGCCCCGCCGTGGAGCCCGGAGGGTTGGGGGCCTCACTGAGGCTCTCGGTACTTGAACGTTGGCTGAATGGACATCCGTTGCCTCCATTTTAATGATTCTTTTTGCCTCTCTTTCGTGTCCTCTTTTACAGCCCCCAACTTCTGGTCCTTTCACCTCCTCCTTTGGAGGGGCAGGATTCTCAGATGACCCCTTTAAAAGTAAACAGGACACTCCCGCTCTGCCTCCGAAGAAACCTGCTCCTCCACGGCCTAAACCGCCCAGTGGTCAGTACGCTTTCTTCTCTCGCAGCCGCCCGCCCACCACCAAAGGACGGCGCGGGGAGGGGGACTCAGGGCTTCTCTGTTTACCAGCCCAGAGTGGAGCAGAGGCCGGGGGGCCCGCACTCCGAGCACAGGGTCTCCCTACTGCTTAGTGACCTGGGTCCTCATGTGGTGTGTGCCTGGGGCACGCCTCCCATCCCACCCACCCTCACCCCGTCCTGGGGGCCCCTTGGCTCCTGGCTCAGTGAGGGCCTCCAGGGTGGTCTCCAGAAGGCCCAGGGCTCGGCCCTTGTGGCGGTGAGAGCTGCCGCATGGCCCCTGACGGGGGGGTGTGTAGTCAGGACCCCATGACCCTTCTGGCCTCCCCTAACCCGAGCTCTTTCCCAAGTTGGCTGAGGCTACCCTCTCAATCCTGTGCCTCCCTCCTAGTTAAAGACTCAGAGTGGGCTTGGGAGTGGGGGTCTTCTTTGGCCATGTTTGATGTAAGAGGAGGCAGATGGCTCTGGGCTACCTTCTGCTTGGCTCCTACTGGGTATCTCTCCAGAGAGCTCCAAGCAAGGGGCTCACTGCAGACCTTACCTCTCCTGGCTGTGCCTGGTGCCACCCGATCTCTCTTGATCTTGGCCCTGGGGCACTACTCTGAGGAGAGGGCCCAGGTGTCCCCCTGAGGATGCTGAGGACTTCAAGCTTATGCACGGCCTCTCCTATGATGGCCATAAGCTGACAAGCTGGGTTGCCAGGCTCGAAAGGAGAAAGCTGTCGCTTTAAGTGGGCCCGGGATCCATCGCAGTTTCCCAGCTCCTTGATCCGCTCCTGCTCACTGTTTTCTTGGTGCCCCAGCTCCAGGCAGTCTGACCCGTGCTGTCTTGAGACTAGGGGTGGCCATAGGAGACCCACATGCTCTCTTGAAACCTTGGTCCCGCCTGAGCTAGCTTCTGCCCTTCAGTTGGCCTAGGGCTCCACTTGGTGGCCCATGGAACTCTCTAGTCATAGGGTGTCATGGGTCCTAGGCCCTCCGGTCATCCTACGTGAGGTCCACCTGTTGAAGTCCTCCTCTTAGTAGAGATGAACGGAGGGGAAGTTATTTTTAAGAGGCTGCCTACTCTATCCTGTCAGCTGGGCCAGCCAGGGCTTTCTTTCAGGAGGATGGGAGCCCTGCCTTCGGTGCCCACTCTGGCAGCTCTAAGGGGACACCCCTGACAGTCTCCTAATGGAAGGACATCAGTCCTCCACACTCTGCCTGAAAGATGGGGGCCGAAGCATGTATGCGCCTGCATACCCACGTACACTTGGGGCGTGGGTTCATGCTTACGTGCAGATGTGTGTGCACACATGCTCAGGCACTGCTCACATGTGCAGACGTGTGCACACATGTGCACATGTTCCCATGCAGCCTCGCATGCACACACTCTCACAGTGCTTACACGCACCTGTATGCACACTGCACGTGCCCACACATTGTTGTGTAAAGTACACGCACACACAAGCGCATGCACAGAGCGACATAGTCGTTGTCAGGCCTTGGGGAAGTTCTCCCCACGCCGGCCAGCAGGTGCAGAGCTTCATGCTCAGGGTTTCTTGGAAACTCTTACTTGAGCTTCCTCCCCTTCCTTGAACCAGTGCTGAATCTGCTTTTGAACTTGCCCGTCACCATCCCCTCTCCCTTGTATTGCCCTCTGCAAGCCTCCCAACCCCATTTTCGCTGCTGCTTTTAGTGTATCATGGACTTAGAAAGCAGAGAAGCCACCCTTGTCTTGGAAGTCTTGGGCCTGTACTCTGGGGAGTCTTGGGCTGCTTTGCTCTTGGCTTTGGGCCGCTGCACCCTTGCTCTGCCATGGCTGCTGAGGTGCCAGGTGCCCCAACTCTCCTCGACATATCCACGGACCCACAGGATTTCCTAGCCAGATCCTAGTAAGACCCACAAGGTAGGACAGGCACTGGGATGCTCTCCTCAGAAGAGGAAAGGGAAGTGAGAGAGGTCGTGTGGGCCACCCACTGTCACACAGCACAGTGCAGCAGGGCCAGCCCTGGACCTCTCCACCCCCATCTACAGCTGTGACGAGAATCAAACCAGGAGGTTCAGAGTTCTCACAGGTTCTGGAAGAATGGTGGGTGCATGTGCAGCGTGTAATCTGTAAGCGACCACGACATACCTGCGTTGAGGTCTAAATGTGTCTCATCTGATTCTCTTACCTAGAAGCAATGGCTGATCAGAAAAACTCTGCGCTGTACACACTGCTGGGTGGTAGGTACAGACGGTGTGGCGACTGTCGTTTGAGCAGCTTCCGGTGGTGGCTCTGCTATGATTTCATACTAACCTCTAACAACATGGAAATACTGGCCATTCAGACGCACACCCCACGCGTGATGTCTGATCCAGCAGTTGACCTTTTAATGAGTTGCATCTGGCGGGGAGGCATTCAGTTCTTTGGGGGACACACAGGAAGGTATCTGCCCCACACTCTGCTCTGATGGAGGGAATCGAGGCCCAGCTGTGCATGCTGCCCTCCCCTTCTGCGTCCACGCCGCGCAGAGCGAGACTGCTTAGGCCCCGGACTCGGCCAGGAGTTAGCTGGTTGTTTGCAGGACGGGTCAGCAGGTGAGCGCGGGAGGAAGTCCTGCTCAGGGCACAACTCTTATTTTCCGGGCTGCTTAAGATAGGAAGCAGCCAGGCATGGATGTACACGTTGTGTTGTTTTGTTGTTTTTGTTTTTTAAGAAAGCGAAGTCCAACAGTTTGAAAGTGAGAGAATGGATGGTGCTTCTTTGCTCTTCTCACTAACCTGGCCTTTTCCTGCATGGAGAGGCCCCGTGGCCAGCATGCTGTGGGGGCCGTCACCACCTGGGAATGCCACCTGATCACACTCAGGGGCCTTCCTGGCATGCAGAGGGAGCTGTGGCCCCCGTGTGGCTGAGTGGGGTCAAGGCAAAGTGGGTACCCTGCTGCCAGGGGCCCCGTGGCCCCGATGACAGAGCCATGATCCCATGGAGCTCTCACGCGGATGGTCCAGACTGCTTGGTGATAAAGGCTTTTTTCCCAGACCAAACACACAACTCCTCCTGGCAATCACAGAAACCAAGATGCAGGGACGGCTCTTCTGGAGTCAGTAGAAGGCTGCCAGGAGCCAGCGCCTGGAGGTGGCTCTGGTGGGTGAGGCCACTAGAACCCAGGAAGGTTGCTGGATCTGGTTCAGTCCACATCTCTGGACGCTGGAGCCAGGGCCTCGTGTTCTGGCGCTGCCACCATCTCCTTGAGGGGCTCTAGGCAGGCATCTCAACCTCACCAAGCTCGGTTTCCTGGACTGAACGTGGGACCAGCTCTGGCCTAGCAGCTGGGCGTGTGGGCAGAGCGCCTTGCATGGTGATTACTCGTGATACGGTGTGTGTGACTTGTGTCCCCATCCCGTCCCTCGGGTCCCAGGACTAAGACATGGGTCCTCCTTCCGCAAGTGCCTTCCCCAGGGGCAGACAGAGGCTGGGTCCGAGGCAGCCATGTGCGTGCAGGGAGTTTCCAGGGGGCCCTTTTCCCCATGAGATGGCAGTTTGGCAGACATCTTTGCAGTCGAGAAAGTCAGAGCATGGGTAGTTGGCCCTCAGGGAGGGCTCCAGGGTCCTCGTTGGGGAAGCTCAGCGCTGGTCGCTTGTCTGGGACCACATGCACGTTTGGGTATGAGTCCCACACGGTTTCTTACGTCCTACTTCTTGTACACTGCAGCCTGCAGTTTTCACATTCTCTAGGCACTGTTTCTGTTTGTTTTTAAAAACATGACTGAGGTTTACTTGATGTGTGATAAACTCACGTGTGTTAAACGTCAGCCCGTGCAGTCCTGGTGGGGGACCCTTCCCCTGGGAGCCTCATCGAGCGTCCCTGTTGCAAGAGTTCTGGCGGCATGCCTGGGGGACCAGAGCAGCCCACCGCTGGCCCTCTGTTTTTAGTGCTCAAGATGGGGTTTTCTTTTGCTCCGAGCCAGAATGTGTACCCTCAGGGACCATCGGGACCACCCTCTGGGGGTATACCCGGAGCTCCAGTGTCTGCACTGTTGTCTGTGCTCGGAGCTCTTTTCTAGAAAGGTCTATCAAGGTATTTGGTCACCAGCAGGTGCCTATTCGGGGTTGAGAGAATTGCAGATGCAAAACAGGCCCCACTCGCAGCCTCTGAAACCTGTCAGTTAAAGCTGGCCCTGGCACACCTCCCCCAGGTAAACAATGGTGTATTTTCTGCAACGGAACAGAGACCGAGATCAGTCAGAGCTCACCGCTGAAGAGTTTCTAGGTAAAAGTTGTTGATTTGCAAAGGGAGAAACAGATTTTTTTTAAGGGCAGGAAATGGCTGTGTGGGTGTCAGTGATTGGGCGTCCGCACCCTGGCGACAGATAGCGGGATCCTGCGCCCGGCCCCACCCTTGCCACTTCCTGAGAGTGCAGCCCTGCGTTCGGGCCCGGCAGCGCCCGGGTGACACCAGCTAGCGGGCCTTCACCGCTAACCAGCTAGTCACCTTTAACCTCTCCGCAATTTATTACCCTTTTATTACTGCTAATGACCTTTTCACCTCCAGAATAAAGCCATGCACAGGCCTGGGGTGTCTTTTTTGCCCCTCTGCCCCCTCCCCTCCACACTTCCAACCAGCACAGGTAAACGAGGTAGCATTTAATCCATGTCCTGTTTGAGTCAAAAGATTTAAAAAAAAAAAAAGGTTCTGTCTCCCCTAGAATGTGAGTCCCCTCCCACACCTGAGTGTGGATGCGCACAGGGTGACCGCGGCTTCTGGCTTCGGGCGCTTTTCTGGTTGCTGCCCACCCACAGGCTGGCCGTCCTGGGGGAGCTGCCCTGCGGAACTTGGGCGTGGAGGGAGCCCGGCGGCCCCCCGCGGCCCCCGCCCGTGTTCATGCTCGGCACTCCGCACGCTGCGGGGCCAGGCTGAAGGCAAGACGGGGCTGGCCGTCCTTCGCCCGTGTGGGTCCCGACCTCTTGTTTGTGCTCAGGATCCACTTTTAAAATGGCTTC